AAGATTCCAACAACTTTCCCTGCGCGGTAAAGTGTGGTTTGTATGTGAGGGAAGCAGGAAATTTCACAAAACTACTTAATCACACTTAACAACTGGAGCTTCCGTGCCAGAAGTTCACGATTAGTCATAAGCCCCTCTGCGAGGGCGCGGACGCGGCCGCGCAGAGAGGGCTTTGTTAAGCTAAATTTGGTGGTGGATGTTTCATTTTTCTGCATTTATGGCGTTCAAACATGCGCGAGAAATTTGCAAGTTGCGAGAAAGTTCTGTGCAAGTTCTTTTAAACATCTCGCATAGAACTTCCACAAAACTTGCAGACTTAAGAAAGTTATGTGTGAACCTAGGCTTCCCCGCTTCGAGGACTCAGTTTGCCCTTGATGAGATACATACAGCAGGGGGTTGTGAAAAAATTAATTAAGCAAGATCCGTGCAAGATTTCTTGCACGGATCTTGCACGGATCTTGCACATTGGTTTTGCAAATTTCTTGCACATGTTTGAACACCATAATTAAAGAATTTGCAGAATGTAAATTCCTCAAGTCAACACGCCCTAAGATTTTATGATTCGAATCCATTTAATGGGTTATTGATCTCATCTACACAATCTGGAAACAGTGTGTTCTTTTGTGATCAATCTTCTACATGTGTGCTTCATTTGCTCTATAAGAAGAGAAAGTGTTCAAAAGATCAAGTTTTGAGTGGAAAGTTTTGTCAAGTGTTGAATTACCCCTGCCGGAAGGATATGAAGGAATATTGCAAAAAGTTTGGTTAAATTCCGACTACATAATCATATTGCATTCGGTGGAAAATTCTCAAAAATCTGCTTGGATTTCTCATCAAATTCATGGTTTCTGGTACATTTATTTGTTTGTCTTGGCTCCGTCGACCAGGGTCCAGTGGATGGTAACCATTATGGGCCATTCCCTCGAATTTTGGATTGTCTTCTTTTGTCTCGTTTTTTGCTCGTTTCTTTTTTGTGAAGAACATAGCAAGCGTTAAACTTATTGAATTACCTCACCTCTCTTGACGAGCTCCTGAGGTTTACAACGAGATAGAAACATTGATAAGTTCAAACAAGTAACAGCCTCTGGCTTTTCGTTTGCTTTCAATCATCCTATCTTTGTTCTCTAAACCTTACCCACCCAACCTGACTTGGAAGGACTCAGATCTATGACTCTGGACGCCAAGAATTCCTCAAGGCTGTGATATATACCCACTGCCAGATCGAAGAAAGAAGTGGTGTTGAAGAGGAAGTATCCCAACCTGCGGAATGGATCATAATGTTACCGTCACGGGATAGGTTACCAATCGTCTCCAATTATATTTACAATAAAGGGTCTATACCAAACTTAACAAAGTCCCTCGCGCCAAAGGCCCGAGGCTTGAGCGAGGGACTTACGGCTAATGTTGAATTTCAAGCATGAGATCAGCCGGGGCATTTTGCCAAAACCACCTCCGTCTTATAATTGTTTTTTTCGCAATTATCAATCTCTAAACTCTCAAAACAAACAATATGCGCACTTGTTCCCTCTATGTTTTCCAACTCTCCTTTTTCCAAAAGATTCAGCGGCTCATGAGACATATGGAAAAAACCTTTGGGGCCAAAATGATCTGGCTCCTCAGGGCCGTACACGACTGCGGTGGACTAAAATACACTTTGTGGGACAAAACCTCGAAACTAATATGATCAAACTATTGTTTTGCACGTCTGGTGGTGGTCACTCTATACAAGTCCACGTACCAAAAGCCTTCTATTGTTGCTATCGTTTGCTCTGCTGATACTTCAAATAAGCACTTTCGCTCTCAATTCATATTGAATCCAGTAGCCACGAGCTTTTCACGGTGGATTAGGACCAATAATGCATTGCAAAAGTGTTGTTTTGACTGTACCTCAAAATTGAATGTTTCTGACGCGCAGCAAACCTCGTTGCCGTCAGCCTTGTTAGCCCCGGCTGTTAGCCCCGAAAGTTTTTTCCATATGTCTCATGAGCCGCTGAATCTTTTGAAAAAAGAAGAGTTGGAAAACATAGAGGGAACAAGTGCGCATATTTTTTGTTTTGAGAGTTTAGAGATTGATAATTGCGAAAAAAACAATTATAAGACGGAGGTGGTTTTGGCGAAATGCCCCGGCCGATCTCACGCTCAAAAATCGACATTAGCCGTAAGTCCCTCGCTCAAGCCTCGGGCCTTTGGCGCGAGGGACTTTGTTAAGTTTGGTCTATACATACGCCTACTTTGACGCGCGCGCAGATTTGGGGAGCGAGGTGTACAAAAAGCAGTGTGTGTCAATGTTGATTTTGTTCATTCCATCCTCATCCCCTCTCTCATCGGTTTTGCTTGTGAATAGACTTTTCCTTCTTCTTCTTTGACATCTTGTTTTCCCTCATTCGTCGCTCTCAAAGACCTGAACAACAAACTCGACCATTACAGATCTTTCTTCCTTGCTTTTGGACACACGCATACACCATCCTGAATTTCAGTATGAGCTTATCTTTATTCACATCTCTCGTCTTGAGTCTTTGTATCTTTTTACCAAACGTAAGTTACCTTCAACGTTCTATAAAAGTTTTCAGAAACACTAATTCAGAGCACGAGTGGGTTTTCCTTTTGGTGGGATTCCGTAGTTGATCTTAGCAGACCACCCAGCCCAAAGTGCACACGTATATTGGCGTTGGAAAGATGAAGGAAACTCAAATGCATGGGACCATAGTATCTTCACAGGACATGCAACAATCACTTGGACAAGAAAAGGAGGTTGTTTGAAAACAGGCGAAACAAAAAATTTCATTACTGAGATCACTACTGATCCAGTTCAAATCACAGCAGAAACTAAAAACAAAAGTGGAGATTATATGGATCCTAAGAGTGTTGTTCATTGGGCTCATGGCAAAGATACCAGTGCTGGTGCTTGTGACGCTTATTCGAGGTCTGATTTTTGGGTTTATAATCGAGATCGAACTCAGAGGATGAAGATCCGATTACCTGATGTAAGTCTTGATTGGATTTCTTTGAAGGAATGTTTGGGTTGATAAAATGTCTGCTTTCGTGTCTTAACCACTTTGATATGTATGAACGATACCTCATCTTTGAACAATACCTTTCCAATATCTTATCAGATCTGTAATGGTACGTTGATTCATCAAGAGCTTAAACTTCTTCAATTTCCACACTTCATCAACTGATCATATATCTTGGTTTTTGGAAATCTTCAACAGATAACAATTGTAAAGGTCCAGACAAAGAGAGACCGAATGTTCAATGTTTGAAAGGTGAGTGTTTTGCTTGATGATCTGTTTGCTTCAAACCGATTTGTTGACGAAAATCATTGTTCTTGGGTTCTGCTTACACACAGGTCCAAAAGGAAGGGTTGTCATGTACCTGGACAAATGGATTGATGAATGCTTCGAACGTTGAGCTTAGGTTCTCCGCCTTCTCATCTCCTTGTTTCGAGTTTGAAAATAGGCAAACCAGTCATTTATACTTTTTTTTATTTTCCATCTGCTTTTTCTTTACCTGATGCGTGTGACGATCATCCACATACACCTCTGAAGAGCCTTGATGGATTTTTTCGTGTCTTGTATCTCTATGTATTTGTTGTGTGTTGTCCAATTTATTTAGACTTTTTTTCGTTCTTTACTTCTCTTCTTTATGAATTACACATTGTGCCATTTTCATGTCAGAACATTATCCATATCTAAGTCATTGAATTCTACTTCAATCATCTTCTATTCTGATGATTTACCAAGTAAAGATTTAGGTAAACTCACTTGTGATAGAATGGAAATTTTGATGTTGGATAATCTAATGTGGACCTGGTGATATAAGAGCCGGGAGTTGGCCTTGGTCTGTATATACAACCAATGCATTTCCGTTTTTCCGTGCACGTTTCTTGTGTTTCAGAGTCCAGACTCATGAGAGGTTGCGCGCCAGAATTTCCCCTTTTCTGATTACCATTCCCAATAAATGTTGAAACCTTTAGCTTCAAATTAAGTTGTATCACTATGCATGACCTTTGCAATATCTGTTAATCTGATTTATGAGTGCAAGGACAAATATTGCCACATGCAAAGTTCAGGTTCAAGAAAGAAATGACGTAGTCAGAGGTTCATGGTGATATCACAAGTTGGACGGGATTCACTATCACACTTATGATAAATTTCAGTGAAGCACGATCAAAAGACCTTGATCAGGGATGATACGACAATCCTAAACCATGCGTGCCTCAATTTCAATCTTGTTTTTCTTATATCAAATTCTAGTAGGACTTGAATTTACCCGCTTCTTGATGGCAGAACTGAACATCTTCCGTCATGCCTGTCTTCGCATTTTCAACATCGGATGTACATAGCACGATACCCTTTTGGAAGACATGTCTCTGGGAACCTGAGACAACTTCACTCCTTGCTCCGGATCTAGGTGCTGTACATCCCTAGACCTCACATCCTAGTATGTTGTAGAACTGAATTGCCGACCAAGAGTTAAGGTCTCAGCATGGGCAGATTTGTGACAGAATCAGAGGGCCTCTCACTTCATCATCACGTTGAAAATACTCAGCCTGGAATTTAGATAGTCGGTCTCGAATTTCTGCCTCCCCTGCATCATCTCATCGTAATCGTGAACAATTATTTAAATGTATTCACTTTTGTTCCACCAATGGATCTTTCTCATTCTCTTTTATCGTTCTTTTATGAACTGCAGAGCTAGCTCAAAACGAGAATTAAAACGTTTGTCGTCATTTGTTTGGCAAAACTTCAGATGAAGATTCAATATATACTAACCTAAATTTGAAAAAAAAACCTTGATGTTTATTAGTTCCTGAAACAGTAGTGGGCAAGGTTTACTTACTCAAAGGGAAACAAGCCGAAGACACATATTCAGCTGATCGGTCAAAATCCCAGAAAGTTCCTCTTCACGATCTGCGAGATATGGAAGACAAACCGAATTTGGAAACCGATGGATTCACTTATGTTTCCGGATGGCATATCAACGGAATTGAGGATATGGTAGAATTTTCTGAAGAACACAGAGCAGCCTTGGAAGCAGATTCTGTTGAGCTCGTTAAAGAGTTGTAAGTAAATCTTCAAAGACATGTCCCCTATATAATTAAAAGTGACTCATTGAGTTTGAATCTTTAGGACAGGGGCAAAGTCAGCATACACCTATTCAATGTATTTCAGAGATCACACTTCACCAAACGCGCCAAAATCGGCTCCCGTCATTCACTCTGATATGTCACCAGAAGGGGCTGAATACATGAAAGGCGTAGCACGAAAGGTATTTTTGACTTCGCCGGATCCAATGGAGATTAGATTTGGAAAGTACATGAGAGAAGGTAAAAATATTGCGATCTTTAATGTCTGGAGGCCGATCTGTACTGTCGAAGATAATCATCTTGGTCTTTGCAATTGGAGATCACTTGTGAAAGAAGATGCCGTGAATTTTAACATCAAACCACACAACGGCCTCAGTTCAGCTCAAGCATGGAAGTATAGAGAAGGTCAACAGTGGTTTTATCTCAGCAAACAGCAACCCAATGAAGCATTTGTCTTCATGCAACATGATAGCCGCGCACCAGATGGCCATGGTATCAATGTACCACACGCTTCCTTTAAACTCAAAAAGGATGCCGGTAAACCACCTACACGAATGAGCTTTGAGGCTAGAGTCGTTGCAATTCTCGGTACACCCACTGATCCACCAATCGAACCACCAATCGGAGGAAGACTTTCAGAATTTCATACTTACATGTTATCAGGAATTAATCATGTCATCAATCGAATTATCCCCACTTCATACATAGACGTGTAAATCACCAAAAAAACACAAGCACCATTGATCTTTTGAGCCTTTTGGTGGTTCATACAATCATTCACAGTTTGGAACACTAAACAACATTGATAATCTTGCAACATTTCTCAAACCTATGGTTCCCTCTTGCTTTCACGTATATATCACAATACAATCTTAAGTCCATTTTTCAACTCTCACAACATGTTTATCACATTCCTTCCTATGTTCCTTTGTTTATTGCTACTGGCCCCACCTAAGTGATGATTATTTGAGGAATCATTGTTCCACATGCTTCCTTTGCTTTGCAAGAAGATAAAGTGACCAAAAGAACAAGTTTTGGGTGTAATCGCTACAATGGCTGAATCATTCCTAGATGAACTACATACTCGCAGGAATATTGGAAAATTCTTGGTGGGATACTTACATTGTGATCTAGCAATTGACTTTGATAACATTCTATGAAAATGTTTTGCACTTCTCATTATAGCATTAGTCTTGGCTACGTCGACCAGGTCTGGGCCACTCCCTGGGTCTCAGTTTGTTTCTTCTGTCACATTTGTTCTCATTTCTATTTTGTGGAGAACTAACGAGTAGAAAACCTATCAAAGTCTCTCTCTCCTCTCTTGCTGAGCTCGCAAGGTTTAGTTCGTGATTAGGGATGTGATAGGACTGAGCAAGTACAATCATCAAGCGGCTCCCCGGGACGTTTCAAGCGTCCTCACTTCACGTGCCACACAATTCCCAACCAGATGCCCGTCTGCTATGTAACACGTGGACAGTTTCTGCTGTTTCAGAGGTTGCACACCAAGCTTTCCTCGTTGTGAATGCTGCTTTTCCGAAGAAATGTCGAATCCTTCAGCTTTGGATCAAGTCGTAAACATAACCCCAGTCATGGCCGCGCGATTGGATACTCTACAGTCTGATTCATGACTGTACCCCATCCAACATGACACAATCTCTTTGGTTTGAAAGAATCATCCGACATGTGGATCATGAATTCGCCTGAATTGTATGTCCTTGGTGAAAAGTACATCTTGATCTCAAACAGTACCACTCCATGAAAAGTTGCAAGTCAAAGCAAAGAATAATGTAGATGAAAACTCCAATCACACATTTATCACTTGGGGAAGGATTTATCACGCTGTAGTTTGGATCATTTTCAGTGAACCACAGTCATTGCCCTTGAGAAATGAGATGGAAATCCAAGATTATGCGTGCCTTGATTTCAACATATGTACGCGTACATAGTTGCTTTGAGTACCGTAATTGCATGATGTTCTCTCGGAAGAAATGGTTGGGGAGCCTGAAACACTCCACTTCTGAGTCCGAATGTAAGAGCTGTACATTTCTTGACCTTACATCCTAGTACATGTCTCGTATAAGAACATAATTGCCGATCAAGAGTTAAGGTCTCAGCATGACCAGGGTTGTGACAGAAGTGGAGGGTGTAAGAGCACACCGAAACTCCTCAGCCTATAAGTACTTTAGATAATCGGTGTCATTATGATCATATCTCTTCATAGCCTGTATCTCTTCATCAAATAACGATCTCTTCATCAAAAACAACTATTTAAATGTATTCATCTTTGTTCCAGAAATTCATCTTTTTCGGTCTCTTCTATCGTTCTTTTATAAACTGCAAAAGTTTTCCAAAACGAGAATTAATTAGTTCGTGTTCATTTCTTTTCCAAAACTTCAGATGAAGATACAATAGTAACCTAAACTTGAAATTGAATTAACCTTTATGCTGATTAGGTCCTGAGGGAGTTATAGCTAACGTTCACTGTCTGGTAGGCAAAGAAGCCGAAAATACTTATGTAATTGATAAGAGTTATCCGGTCCCTCTTCACGATCTCCGAAATCTAGCAGAAAAACCAAATTTAGAAAAAGATGGATTTACTTATGCCCCAGGAAGACATATCGAAGGAATTGAGAATATGGTAGAGTTCTCTAAGGAACATAAAGCAGCCTTGGAAGCAGATTCTGTTGAGCTCGTTAAAGAGTTGTAAGTAAATCTTTAAAGTGATCTGCCTTCAAATGTAATCAAAAGAGGCTCATTGACTTTGCATATTTAGGACAGGGGCAAAATCAGCATACGCCTATGCAATGAATTTCCGAGAATACACTTCACCGGACTCCGCAGGACCAGTTCACGTAATTCACTCTGATATGTCACCAAAAGGTGCTGAATATTTGAAAGGCGTAGCAAGTAATACATTTCTGGCGTCAACAGATCCAAAGGAGATTAGATTTGGAAAATACATGTGGGAAGGTAAAAATATTGCAATCCTGAATGTTTGGAGGCCAATCCATGCGGTTCAAGACAATCATCTTGGTTTCTGCAAATGGGATTCACTTGTGAAAGAAGATGCTGTGGAAGCTAACATCAAACCAGACGGATCCTGGAATTCACTTCAGGCATGGAAGTATAGAAAAGATCAAAAGTGGTTTTATCTCAGCGAACAGAAACCCCATGAAGCATTTGTCTTCATGCAACATGATAGCCGTGCACCAGATGGCCATGGTATCAATGTACCCCACGCTTCTTTCAATCTAGAAAAAGATGCCGATAAACCACCTACACGAATGAGCTTTGAGGCTAGAGTTGTTGCAATTCTAGGTACACCCACTGATCCACCAATCGAACCACCAATTGGAGGAACACTCTCAGAATTGCATACTCACATGCTATCTCGAATTAATCAATTTGTCAAGCAAATTGGCCAAGCGCAATAAGGAAATCCCAAAAGAAAAGGGAAAACTTGGACTACTTGTGCCTTCTGGTGGTTCATACAATTACTGTTTGAAGCGTCCCACAACATCATTAATCTTGCACCCATTTGTACCACAAGTCTCTTTCATCTATCACACATACATCACTATCATCATAATATTTTCATAATATTTAATCCCAGAGGCACTTCGCTTACAAAACTCGACGAAATCCACCATTAGTGTGATTTTCCAGTTTTGGCCGTTGTCAGAAATATTTCACTGCAAATCAATCTGCATTGCCCATCATCATTGCCAATTCCCATCACAATCTCGCGTAACTCCATCTCTCAAAGCAACATACTTTCCACATTCTCGATAAATGTCAAGCCTGATGTACCACAATTACGGAGATTGAATATGGTGCTCTTCATCTGCCTCACGCTTATGGCGTACCAGTGGAGTTTCTACGACATTTTTGCGTAGGGGTGAATTTGGGCCAATCAGCTCGCTTCAAATCAAGCTAATCTCGCCTTCTATTTCCTACGATTTGCTTCATGTCCTATACATTTGGGGTTCTGTCTTCATCGCTATTGACGCACATACAGCTTTGATTGGCCCCAACCTCTTAGATAATCATATCTATCAGGTCAGTCATCTTACGAACTTCAGCAGAGTCAGACCTGAACAAATGTTTCTGATCCCTGTCATATTTTGGCACTCACGGTTTGAATTTACCAGATTCTTCGAAACATGAGGTCCACAGATTGTCCACAGTCCCAATGGTTCACTCAAGGAATGACAGGACTATGAGCAAGATGTAACTTTGATGATGGCGTGAGTTTGAATATGATCTTGATCAATGTCAAGATATTGACATGTTCTCTGTTTTCAGCGACTGGTATCATGAGTCAGTGCAAACTTACCTTTTGTAATTCGGATGCAAATGAGACCGTAAATCCTTAATCGTCTCTGAGTCAAAATCACTTTCAAAACTCGGAATGGTAGCACGAGCGATGACATTCTCAGATAATACCAATCAGCAGGATTTAATGTTGTCCCCGCCAAAAAAAACTATGTAGCAAAAGGTATGTACGCGTACATACTTGCTTTGAGTACCGTAAATATGAAATGAGATCAGTTTTGATTTGCAAAAATGATCAAACATGATTATTCCATTCAATGTGTTAGATTTCAAGTTTCAGATCTGTAAACAAAATAAGATGATCATCAACAACATTATGATTCATTCCCTAGAACATCTTCCAATCTTCCAAAGATTTTATGTTCATTCAATCCCATGAATAAAAAGTAAAATTAAAGCCCTGATACAATATGAGAATATAAAAGTTACAGATTCAACCAAGAAAAAAAAGACAATGAAGAAATCAAACAACTCTCGAGATGTTTCCTTCATCAGTTATTACCGTTATAGGATCAGATTTTACTTTAGGTTGTGGCTCTTGAATTTGATCAATCTTGTTTTCTGTTTCGGTTAGACCAGTTTCTTTTTGAAGAGCTTTGCCGTGGTAATGAGTGGAGGTTTTAGCAGCTGGCCAAAGATCAAGTATAAAAGTCTGATTGTTTTTTTTCAAAAAGACCATTAGATATCAAGAATTAGTTGAAATTAAAGTATATCAAGTGTGAAAGGAAAAAGAGATGGCTTACCATAAAGTAGAACATAAGGATAAAAGAAACAAGCCATTCACAAGCACCAGCAGCAGAGATCACAACGTTACAACGATCCGAAGTATTTTTTCCATGACAGATACCATATAAGATAGCAAAGAGAACAGCAACTCCAATGGCTAAACCAACGATACATAATTTAAGAAGAGCATTTCTTTTTAAATGAGCTCTTGATGGGTGATCTTGATGTAAATAAATGATTTCTATCGTTTGACAGATAGAAGAGAATGCAACGCATAGGATGAAAAGGATTGTAAAAGACCAATGTAATGTAGAGTGTGCGAACGTATTAAAGCAGCTATGGGAAAGAAACAGTCAACTCGATGTTTCTTAACTTTTGTGAGATTTGAAGATAAAAACTTACGATAACATTAATAACCAAAAACCACCTAAAGTACCAGTGATTAAAGAAGCAATACCCCAATAAGTTTCTCTACGTCTGATTGTACCGGGTATCCGATTTGAATGTCTAAGCCATCTTTCAGATAAAAGACTTAAAGTATAGAATATAAATACCAGGGCACAACCTGGTATAAATAAAGCTAAGTGAGCAGCTCCTGCATCGGCTATTGAGGCAAAGGGATGAATTTTACGATTCGTGTTAGGAAATTCCAAACGGTCAAGAGAGGAAAATTTGATGTTTTTTTGACATGAAATTGGTACGTACAAATGAAGACTACTGTTGCTTCTCTATCTTTGTATTGTCGATGATCATCACGTAAGATCCAAAGTAAAAGTAAACCTAAAAGGGTAGAAAGCCAAGCTAGACTTGCCATGACTGGAAACCTTTTTGGTTTGCAACAAAAACAGAAATCAGTCTTCTCTCTTTCAACCAAGCTGGACGCGTCAAAGGGATGATGGTAAAGAAGGCTGTTTACCAAACATAAGCTCCGTAGGTGATAAACTTCATTTTTGTTCCTCTTGTAAGTTTGAAGGCTTTTGAATGGGTTTCGGATGTCAAAGGAAGTTCTTTAGGATTAAAGGTTTTGGAATTAATGAGTTTGGTTTTCGATGGAAAAGTCGAAGGAATTAAAAGATTAGTAAACAAGAAATCTAAAAAGAGAAAGGTCACAAAGGATATCGATTTTAAGAACAATGAGCAAAATGAATTATAAACTAGACTAAGACGAATCGAATGAAAATTTCAAATCAATCTGGAATAGGACCAAGTGAAGACAGGATCAAGATCAGGATGCATTCGAATTAGGAGAAGGCCTATTAGTCAACTTGTGTCCATTCGTTATTCGCCATTCGCCATGAGTTGCCATTTCTACTATCTTGGTATGTTTGACATTCGCCATTTGAGATTGATTGTATGCGTCACATCCATCAGGTTGGATCATATCATATCATATTGGATGGAGATCGTAACTATCGTAAGTCAGCAAACTTGGAATCGAACCAATCAAACTTTAGATTTATCAAACCTCTGACGTCATCTCATCGTGAACCACTTTGATATTGGCGAAGTTCCAGACAAGCTCATGTCACAGATAATTCACACTTCTATCAATCACATATCGTGAGTTTGGGGAGTTTCACAACGGTTGATCAAGTTCATTTTGGGTGAAGCAAACTCAAGGACAATTCTAGCTTACCCAAAATAACTGGAAGTTCATTAGGATAATGCTTAGCTGATTGTCAGTGATTTGAGGTATTGAAGTCTGCTTCATGATACGAATTGAGTCAGTAGGGATCTTCAAAGAGATGAATAAGAATACAGAAAAAATTGAATGAGAAGAGGAAACCCTCAAAAAGGAAAAGAATCACCTCTTTGTCTTCACATCAATATGTGCTACTCAAACTGCTTGTATATCTGAACTTGGCTCTCTTATATCCAAGAAGACAGGACGCCTACAAATGATGATGATCTAAAATTATGAGAAACCCAGTAACAAAGGAAAGAGATCAAATGCAAAGAACAAAAGAATAGGCCGTTTAAATAGTGAACAACAAAATGATAACGCAATTGTGCAAACGAAACAAAACGACATGACGTCATAACACAAAATGAAAGGCTGAGAGAAAGATGTATACTCTTCTTCCTTCACGAAAGTTTCTTTGAGATTCTGCTTTGCAATTGTGTGGTTTGGCAATATGTTAACAACTGATGTAGTCAAACTCATACCTTCTCGATCTCTATATCTACCTTGACAGTCGTGGTGGTCTTTCATATCTCAGGCCGCATCTGATAATTTTCGAAAGACAAGACGTTGGATCGAGTTGAATTCTCTCCGAGATCCTTCAACTGATCCAATCAAAAGGGACTGAATGGATTTCTTATGACGGTTGATAATTTTTACAAAAATTCATACTCAAGTCATATCGTACTGACTCGACCTCTCTCCTCAAAAAAATCTATGAGCGCTTCCAAAATGCCTCTTGAAATACTGCTGAATAAAATTTTGATTTGCATTTTTGAATGAGGAATTAACAATCAGCCTAAAACCCAATACAAAATTCTAATACAATAAGTCAACAAACAAATTAATCATGTTCTCTATATCACAATTTTGAGTTAAAAAGCTAACAACAACATTTTTTTTTATAAAACGTCCTTTCACCTCTCTACTCTTCAATGGAAAAAAACGAATCTCATAATCCAATCTTTCCTTTCTGACTTTTCTTTCTACTCCAAATCTGATCTCGACCAAAGACCCAAACTAAAAGAAAATTAAAAAGAACATATAAAAAGAATATTCCTAAAACATGATAACTTTGTTGATAAGCTCCTTTGGTACCTAGAAGTTCATCTACAAATTCATCCCCATTCGAGTAAGGGCAGTATTGACATTGATTGTTAACCTTACCAAAACCTGACATGTACTCCTCGCATCTGCGCGAAAGTGCGAGTGATATAAATCATACATATCATCAGACGATGATGAGGTTCATTGAGGATTGTGTGTAAAGGTTACTCACGTCATCGATGGTGGTGGAGTGATATCGACCCATTCGTGATCCACACAACGTACTGGCACATCATGTAAAACGACGGATAACACTGCCCTCACATACCATTGGAATGGTGAGACTGTGTAATGCGACCAAAGTAAGCTATGGGTTTCCAACCCAGATGTGATCAGAAGGAGACGTACTCCAATACATCCATCTCCAGTAAAATGGCATTTGATCATATGGTCTATAGCATCACCAACAAAATGTTCAGCAATATATCACAAATTCAAGTAGAAGAAGAATGAATGCAAAAGATATTCACATCAAGCTTCCGTTGAACGCTTCCATCGATACCAAGAAGAATGGTAGAAGATTGGCTACTACGCCAATTGTAGGTGCCAATCCAGATATCCAAATAGCCCATGTTACCTATTCATATGCAAATCGATGTCGGTGTCAGTGATGATCAAAGAATAAGTAGGAAAAAGTATGCTACACACCTGGAACAAGAAAAACAATTGGACAGCGATGAAGGCTAAGAAAAGCAGTAGAATTGTGATCGGTCTGTGAGTAAGGGGAAACGCCGCATTTAGAGAACCAGAAGGAAAACTCACTGAACGCTATGGTTTCAAAATTGATCGGATATCCAACTATAACCAAACCCAATCATTGTCATGAGCTTCTTTCCAACCCGATCAAAAGTGAAATCAAACTCACCACCCCAAAACCAAGTGATCCAAAAAATAAGGCCAGATGCGATACAATATGGCAATTCAGCCAATACGAAGCCAAGGGTCAAACTTGATTTACGATAAACACCCGATCGAGATTCTCGTAATTGGTATACATTCTTGAGTAAAAAAGATTTCATGATCAATTGATTCATGATCACCGGAGGAACAAAGAGAATCAAGAAGACACTAAAGACTCTTGACTTCAAACCAGATAAAGATAATGGTTCTTGGGTTCCAAAGCTCAATCCTATCAGTCCTCCAATGACTAAAGACGTAAAGAGTTGTGTAAAACTAAAGACGCTATCTCTCCAGAAATGCAATGAACATCGTCGAGTAAGTTCTAGGACCTCTTCTAACCAAGTTTGGGCACCTCTTGAAGCGTCTGTGGCTGGATAGCCTACTATTTGTTGCGAAAGTTCGTCAAGCCTGGATATCACTTCGATCTGTTCACGTGATTGAAGCCAGCGGAGTGCATTGGATTCACGGACAACGATGCTCTGACGTCCACGTGGATCTGTGACAATAATCGAGCCTTCCACGGTTGGTTTACGGTTTGTCCGCTCGAACGAGGTAGTTTCATTCGATCCATCCAAGTGAGATTCTTCCTCCTCCTCCTCATCTTGCTCATCCTCCCCCTCATCCTCATCCTCATCCTCATCCTCATCCTCATCTTCATCTTCATCTCCGCTCACCATCTCAATCAGATATTCCGCTGGATTCATACCCACTCCACATCTGTTTCCTACCATTCGATCTTCAAACCACTCAACAGCTCGTTCCCTTGGTCCAAAGTAGACAGTCCGTCCACCACGTTGAAGTAACAAAAGTCTGTCAAATTGTTCAAACATCTCCTTCGATGGTTGATGGATAGTAACTATGACACCTAATCCAGTCCCCTTTGCCAAGGAGCACAAGAGCTGAATGATATGGGCAGCCGCTCTTCCTTCTAATCCGCTCACAGGTTCGTCCACGCACAGCACCCGAGGTCGAGCCACCAATTCTACGGCAATGCTAAGTCGTTTGCGATCCTCAAGGCCCAGGCCAGCTTCAGGAGTTCCTATGATGGCATCAGCTATCGAGACTAACCCTAACATGTCCATCACTCGCTCTACATCTGCCAGTTTCGCCCAACGGGGTACCGAACGCGGTTGTCGAAGCAAAGCTGAGAATCTCAAAGCTTCTCTGACCGTTGATTTTTCACCTGAATGGCACATTCGAAACATGCAATTTAGTCTTCGGGGTCCATTTAGAGAATATACAGTGAAAGAGGTAACGAAAGGTTGAAACCGAAAACCAAATAGAGGCTCACAATGACAATCGATTTGTCCGACAAAACCGATAGATTTGTACGTCTCGGAACTGGGGCTTCGTCCATCTACCAGTACCCTACCCGACATACAGCCATCTGTCTCAGAAGATAATCTTCCTGCAATGACATTCAAAAGGGTCGTTTTACCAGCGCCTGATGCACCCATCCTTTTTTCGGTCCGAGGAGGAAACGAGATGAGTCTTGTGACGTAAGCGACCATCATAGACTGAAAAGACTCACAGGGCTGTACATTCGCCAGGCTGAATATAGCCTGTGATCCCAGTGAGAAGGTCAACAGGACCACTCGGCGTCTTGACTGACCAACTAAGATCTTTAAACTAAGAATTCACATGAATAAGTATTCGGCGATAAACTTAACTCCTCTTTCAGACAGAAGCTGGGATAGTGGATTGGTACCCAAAGCAGTGTACTCACAGTTACGACTGCCGGGTCAAATTGAGCCAAGGAGTCACCGATCAACCCATCATGTACATCAAGTAGATGGGCCCTAACCATATTATCATCATTGCCATTAGTTTCCTCTCCTTCCTTGCTTTCTTCCGACTCTTCTATACCTTCCAGCTTCCTCAACTTATTTCTAAAACTTTCGCTATCTTTGAACACTCTTACTGCACCCAATTTGAAAAAGTCTAAAGTAGAGCTGAACCAAATTGAAGCGAAAAAGAATATGAGGGCCAAGCCAAGGATCGACAGTAAGTTGGGAACCAAATGGTCGGATGAAAAACCATAAGATTCCTTTAGATAATCTTCGCCTTTCACCATTAATGAGCCTACTTGAGCACCTGGGACTGCACAAGTTTGATAAGCTGGATCATTATACGACGGTCCGCTGGGTACGATATGTTGCTCGGAGCATTTTAATTCAAGTCCACGGAACTCGTTCGCCAAGACCGCCTAAGGAGGAGAGAGGAGAGAGGATTGAGTTTCTATGTATGGATCAAAGCTTGTCGGATGAGTTGAGCAAAATATGCCTAACCTCATAAGCGTACGAAATTGGATCAATGTAGTATCGAATCCATCTCAGACCTGGTCGAATAGTCGGGGTAGGAATGAAGTATCCGGCATATCTATCAAGATGAAACGAAAAGCCCAGAAATGTTGGAACAGGTCAGCTGGATGCGATTCAAATATCTCAAGAAATCCCCATACATACACTACAAGTATATTAAGCGTGATACCACAATATCTCATGGCCTCGTCAAAGGATGGTGATAATGACGCAAACATTCTAAAGATGGCCGTCAAATTAAGAGCCGTGGCATAAACTGTGATTGATACCAGAATCAGTGAAAGTAAGCAGTCTGATTGTTCGGGAATCTCATCAGTCCAAAGAGTATAACTGACCAATCAAAAGATATGTTAGGAAGTGGGTGATATCAGCTTGTAGACCAGCCATAAAATATGTGATGGAACCAAAGAGTGAAACTTGAAATGCAATCAAAGGAAGATCGCTAATAGTCCGAGCTAATGCGAGTGCACCTGGAGAATAGAACCCAAATCGTCGATGTCGTTGAACTATAGGACGGCCAGCGAGTGTGTTGGCCAATTCTGATAGTTGAAGGTATCCATTGAACAGGATTGAAAGGAACAGGACCGATCCTCTGGTAAAAGCTGCTTCAGTGGTAGCTGGAAGTTGATAGAATAAGGAGCCAATGATGAATGACAGCATTACATTCACTATTGTCTTTGTCGTGTATGGTCGTAGATCGGCTCGAATCAAAGCCCACTGCCGTAAGACAAGGTATGCTACCTGTCTGAAGTAATTGACTGTATATGATGAGGAATTAGGTGTCCACCTATCTTTCTTGGCGCGATTGGCATGTAAGATGTGATGAGCCGGCCCGGAGGAAGGATAGATCGACTCGTATTCAATCATCTCCTGTTTAAGGGTATCATATTGCTTAGAGTGCTCGTAGGCCTTCACGAAGTCGAGCGGGGTACGGGGTACACGATCGTGATAACCGTCTCGAATGCGACAAGTCTCCGGATCGGTGACTGCACAGAGGAAATCGGCTGCAGGCTGTGCATCGGCTCGTTCAAAGCCGAGTTCTTCAAAATATTTCACTGCCTCTGAGATTGGACCAAAGTAAATCTGATGACCCGAATAGAGCAGGAGGAGCTTATCGAACTGAGAATACAATGAATCTGAAGCCTGACGTAAGCCTACAATTGCAGATCTTTTCCCTAATCTAGCCCATTCTTTAAGACTATCAATCATCTGAATTGCAGTAGAAGAATCGAGACCAGCTGTAGCGTTATCGAGACACAGGATCGAGCAATCTGTCATCAATCCCTCTAAAATGCTCACTCTCCTTCGTTCACCACCACTAAGCCCGTGTACATGGCTCGATCCAACGGGCGTGTCCAAGTTTGATAAGTTGAGTCGGAAAGCTCTAATCCAAGCTGAGATTTCAGTTAAAGTCCAATCTTTACGACTCATCCCATCAGATCGCCTTTCTGGAGTCTTGCAACGAGCTGCCAGAGACAAAGTTTGGCCGAGTGTGAGACTTCCGAAATGATCATCAGTCTCTTCAACTAAGACTACTTCGGACTGCAAACCGAGTTGATGGAGAGCTTTGGGAACGAGTGAACCATAGTCAAGTTGACCATCTATGATCGAAAATTTTGCTTCAGTTGAGGAAAGAGTTCGAAGGGTACTAGTGACTCCACTACCAGGTCGACCTAGAACGAGTAAAAGCTCAGATTGATGGAGAAGCCCATTGAGATGACTTAGGACTAGAATGGTGCGAGGGTTGGTCGGTTTTCGAGAGAGTAAATAGGTGTCTATTAGTGTTGTGAGTTTGAAGAGAGGGGTGGTAAAGAGTCGAATAAAAGCGCGTGGTAGATTGAGGACGAGAACATGATCGGAAGAATCGCTGTAGACAGATAGTTGACGAAATCGAAGTGGTAGACCTTCGGTTTTGAGACCAAGCAAATCAGAAGTGTGAGCTCTGGCTTGAAGGAAATTAGAAGTCGAACGACGTGAACGACAAGTCTTGATAATACTTGAGTTGGTGTTGATGTTGGTGTCGGTGGTAAGTGGGACTGAAGAGTTATTTTGATCAATAGTTGTAGATTGATCGATAGTAGTAGGATCGATGGATTGATCTGAAGTGGATATCAAGTTTTGAGGTAAATTGATCGTAGTCATCCTTTAAGAAGCTTCTTATGTAAGGGTAATGAGAATAGTCGATGATGATGATGATGATGAAATGTTGAGAATAGTCATGGAGGGAAAAGAAATTGGTCAACAGTTGATAAATAATTTCGAACGACTTTTACGTACTCCAAACCGTGCATACAGTCAACTCTACACTCAAAACTCTCATGATGCTCTACAACTTCATCAATCATTCATCAATCAACTCTCGATCTTGTCCTCACAGGTCCTCACACCCCGTCAAATCCCTTGATCGTCATTATCTTGGTGGTACCAAACCTACTACTCCACACCGGAACCCCTTCGAATCAGAATCACTCTTAAAACACTTCAAGTTGATGATCAAATTCCAACGCCTCTCTGTGTGCCGAAACGCCTACTTTTGGAGCGAATCATGAGCTTCTTGAAATTCTCAAGCGCGTTGACCATCGCCCAATGTATCATACGATTCCCAAAAGCATAGGCGTATGGAATCTTGATTTATTCGGCATCCATCCAGACATCCGCGGTTAATTGATATTTTGCACATCTGTGTTGTTTATCGCGATCGGGATCAGAAATGGAGCTCAAGCAGGCGGAAGCGTTGACAGCAAGCAATTCAACCTCAGGCCGCTTCATCGGCCATTTCCGCGCTTTTTCTACCATATTGAAAACCGCGGATAAAATGGCTTCGCATATGCGGATTGAAGTGATGGACCTCTTGTTCAGTGATTTGACCGTGCGAATGGTCCAAGCAAATGCTCAGTTCATCAACGCTGGCTCAAGAACTTGCCCATTTGAAAGAAATTTATCGAAGTGATGAAAGTGATGAAAGTTATGCTGCCAGGTTCTGCCTCAAATTATCTCGATATTATATTCAACTCTGACTTCTCTAAAGGCTTCCTTGATAATTCATCAACTCATACCCGTCTCATCACCGTCCTTGTCAATCATTCAACAAGATGTCATCAGAATTGCGAATGGACATAATTGACTTTGCAATTCACCTCCCTTCGAATGTAAACCCATACATCGCCTTGGCTGACCATCTAACCAACGTGGAAAAGGTACTGGTTTCTTGATTTGTCAGGATTATCGAAACTTGCTGATCCTTCTATGTATCAGGTCACAGGGCTACCAGTCTGGGCCATCGCCGTACAGAGCTTTACAATTTTTTCGTATGTTGGGTGAGGTTGATGTAACATTCAGATCTCAAGGGGGCCAAAGAGATCACCCGCTCAAATTTGTCATCTCTGTGATCTTGAACGTTACAACCAGCGTGCTACTAGGGGCTATATGGCTCTTACGCGCGAGGTTTTTGACGAAAAATTTTAAATTTGTGTCAATATCAAATCGTGAGTGTTGAAAATCGTGACGTAAGAATTGGTCTATCACTTGTACTGACTCTATCGTTTGTTGGCGCCTTAAATGTGATGATAGTTGGGCTGATTGAGATCGACCTGGTGAACACATTAGCTCTTTTAGGTGTCGCATATGCTTCAGGTCAGTATCACTTTCTCGTCAATAAGGAGAACAAAAAACTCTATTTCGCTTGCCCACTTCCTTTGATTTTTCTAGTCAGTGTTGCTTACCGCTCGTCAATTTCAAACTATGTATACAGTATCGATTCCGGACCTCATCTATTGGCAACTGGTCCACACGGGGAGATGTAGGGTCTATGGCGCCGGAATCTTGGTTATGGGCGGTAAATTCGTCCTCCTTTTGCACATGGCATTGTGAGTGATACTTATGAAAGTATAGATCATCAATCCAGAGTAAACTGATTGCGCTGTGCCTGTTAGGTGTAAGTCATCAACTCACTCGTACGTACCCATAAAGAGAAGCCCTGATATTCGTCAGACCTACCCATATATGCAGCTTTTCTGTGGGCATGCGCATGTAATCGGGCCACAGCTTCTTACAGTCAGACATGGATGCACCCGAACGGAAGGGACAAAGGCTTGAAACCATTACTGAGATGCTTTATGAATGGCTGCTATGTGACAGGCGTCCTTCTGACATACAGTCAGTAGCGTGTGGCTTCATGATCTAGATAGATAGGTGGACCTTGATGTTTGAATGCTCATGTTCAATTTTCTCAAATAATCAGTCGTTATCGCATACCTTTGCAGCGGCGTGAGTATCGAATACACTGCGGTTGACTCGATCTTGCACAACGTTATCGATGAGCTCTACGCCAGATCATCTGATTACTATTCTCCACAATACAATTATTTGGACCCCTTGAAAGTCCTGTCCCGGGCAGATCCTGCGGTATCTCATTTTGTACGCGATATTCTTTGCATTCCGCAAAAAACCGTGGAACAATTTTTGATTCTTCCTCGCGCAGCGGAAAATGCTCCAATTTCACCAAATGGCTAGTACCTTTTATGTGTCTGCGATCTTTTTCCTTTGCATTGTACGTTCTTGAATGACCCTGCGGTCCAAGGATGATAACTGACTGTTGTTTTGGAAGATCTATCTTCCATTGTGCGCGTTCGCCCTAGGAAATGGCTCGTCTTCTTCCCTCGTGGATCAATGTAGAAACGCGGATGCAGATCAAATCGTATTGAACAAACATGCAGAGACTGTCAAGGCGCGAAAAAAGCTGATCTTGTTTCAAGCATTTCTGGTTGCCACTGGCACATTGGCACATGCTCCCAATCTCTTAGCTCAAGTCAGTGCGCTGTACCAACGTATCACTGATTATTTGGCAAAATGGCTGAGCTTATACTGTTATAAATCTCCTTCAGCTAAGATTCAAGTCTGAGAAAGTGTTTGTGGATACGGATTGGTGGCTTCTCACTCTCATCGTGAGTACATTATATCCGTGTTGCTCGTTTTATTTCATACCACCTCTCTGAAAGTTCTGGGAATGCGCAGGGTCTCCATCTTCCCTCTTCCATCTGGTGCAATGGGTTGGTCGTTGATGACAATAGATCTATACATATACTGAAAGCTGATTGTATCTGGATTCCATAAAGGCTGTTGATATTTCTCAACCTAAATTTAGATCCACAAGCTTCAAGGAACAATCGGCAGCCATTTCCAAAAATTCAGAGGCTCCTACCAACTTTCAGCATTCTTCGTCTGAATTCCTTAAATCGAAGTGAAGGGAATAAACATTCAGAAAATATGGTGAATTCTCACTGAATGCTAGTGACTAACTCGGTTCTTAACCTGTGAGAGTTCAGTTAGTGGTAGGAAGTTGTGATAGTTGTGATATGCCTCAGTGATCAGTATGTGTTTAATAAGGATGGTCTGTGACACGTGGAAAAGTTTCGATTTGTAAATATTAGAGAACAATTTCACTTGGAAACTAAAGTGGCACCGCATGATTCTGAAATCAGTGAGTGTTCGATAAATTTTGTTTGAACAGGAATTTCAAGAAGAAGCTTCAGATTAAGATTACAGTTCATTGATTTTGCATCGAGTTATTGATACACTTGATACTGCAGCACTTCGTTGTAAGCCTGAAGTCTATAAACATGTGGGTAGATACCTAAACATGTTTCCAGCAGAAAGTTTTGATCACACATTTTATGAGAGCTATACTTTGCTTTTTTGAAGGTCTCATAGCTAATTTTTGTAAATTTCCACAGGATGGTTCAAGATCCTTGGTCGGTTATGGCTGCAGCTAGATCAATGAGTCCAACTATTTATTTTGTTCATCAAGTCACGCGGAAATCGAGATTGAGTGGAAGATGATTTTGATAAACCTCTTGAAACAGAAGCGCTGGGACAGCGCAGGTGAGAAACAAGAGGCTCTCAAATGGATAGGAACAACATTATGATCTTACTATCTTTTGTTTCTTATTGATGTTTATCTTTTTTTTCTCATTATGTTTAGGTTGGTTTTCCCAGGTTTGCACTGCTGTGTTGGAGAAGAGTGCTTTCACTTATGGAATTTCTGACCAGAAATCACATTCTGTAAATTCTTTAATGCAAAAATGAAACGGATGGCAATATTTGGCGCCTGGATTTTGAGGTCCAACACCTGGTTGTCGGATAGTTAGATTTTCACAGCCCAATTTGAAAGTAAACCGGGCTTAAAAGCGGGCTGCATGCGTATTTTCTCACAAATTTTGCATTTGCGTAAGAATCATCATGTTGTGGACCTCTTTTGTGGTACATCTTGGTATAATTAGGTTAGAGCATCTCCAATGCGGACCTGTTCTGTAAACCAAATACAGACCCAAAAAAAGATTGCTGGAAAAATTATGACAGCTGTATTTCATTTTCAGGTTCATTGCATCCAATGTGCACATGCAGTATAAGTTTTTGGGTCGTTTTGAGCTGCCCAAGTTGCCAAACTCTCACCCAATTGAGCCACCAAATAGCCATGGATTGGTTGGACAATGAGAAGATAGGACACATCTGGTGACTTTATCACCACATGCGCCAAATGCCTGTCCAATACTGGGACAATACAGCTTGCTCTAAAAATTCAGTTGGTACTCCATACAACACCGGAACCGCTACGAAACGCTCCAGATTCTGGGCACCCTAGAGAGCGGTGGCACAGGCTCCGAAATGAACCGCTGCGCACTCAATCGCTATTTTTTTAAAATAAAATCCTCAGGCGATATCGTAGTGCAGTAAGCGCTACAATATCGCTATATATCGCGCTATGGGGCCAGAATCAAGATATTGAAAAAATCAATTGCGCTTTTCAAAAAATCAATTGCACTTTAGATGTATGTGACAGTGCACTATCAAGAATCAAGAAGCCAAAGGAAAACAAAAAAGAGAAATGAAAACAAGTTTTTTTTGATTTTTATGAAGCGACCTTTTGACATATAAAGAAATAGAAATTTGAGATACCATTTGAATTTGTATCGATTTTGAAGTGTATAAAGTGTTTGAGATAAGACTATCGATTTTTTTTCTTGCTGTTTCATTTTTTTTTTCTATTTTGTCTATATAGCCTTGAAGTACCTTAGCAGCTTCTGCAAAAACTCCCTCAGGGATTATCCCCTCCTTTAGCCAAGCTTGGGAACCAACTAAACACTCCATGGTCTTAGGCAACATGCTGCCTTGAGAAGGTGAACAGACGTCGGCAGCGGCCGAAAACGTGCGCTCACATGCGCAAGACGTAGCTGATACTGCTAGATATTCGCGAGCAAGGTTGGCAAGAGTAGGGTAACGGTGTTTGTGTTCCTGTAAGTAAATCAAAGATTAAGTCAGCGGGAATGATAGAAAGAGTAGACAGAAGAAAGACAAACCTTCCACCATTCAAGGGGGGTTTGATCTTTTCTAATTTTATCATGACCCTTCAAATAATCTTCAAGCTCCGTAGAAGTCTTGTTTGTGTTGACATCGGATTGTCCAAATATATCATATTCATCAGGCTCCTCAGTATCGTTGTCGTTTTTGGCGGTTGGGGTTGGCTCGCGGACAGCAGTTTCTTGCACAAGTTTATCAAAAGCATTCTTAATCAATCGGTTAGCTTCAGCATCATGTTTGGGATAATAAATGGTAAAGAACTTTGTTCGAAAGCGCGGGTTGAGGACCATGGCAAGGACAATTGCTTCAGAATCGGCGGCTTCATCTCGATACTCGTCAAGCCACTTGATCATGACAGAAATCGCATTGTCTAGACTAGGAAGGGAGTAACATTCTTCTTGATGGGCTTTAAGCTCGGTGATAACTCTGTTGTATTCAGCGAGGAGAACACAACCAGTTGGGGTGTCACCCTCAACTCTGGCTGTTGCATTGACAAAGGTCTAAAAGATGCAGTATATTAGTTGAGAAGTAAATGAAAGTTGATAAGTAAGAATACCAATTTGAAAAAACATTGTCTCACCTTTAACACCTTATTAACCAACTCAACAGCTTCCCATTCGTCGTCTGGTGAGAATTGTGACTCCTTTGAAGAAGCGTGCCCTGCGATCGGCCGCGATCATTGAGTTGATGATCTGTAAGACGAATTATCAGTCGTGTTTTACAAGGCCTCTTGAGCATACGTCCTTTGTATCCCATACGGGCGGCGCGGGTCTTGAAGTCATTGTGACGTGCGGCACTACTAGCTATCTGTCCAGAAATCGCATCTACCTATATATGAGATTGGAGAGAATAGGAATGATTTGTATCAATATTCCTGGTGGGATTATTGAGATAGAGAGAAAAAGTGATGAAAGGAAGAAACTGACCTTTTTGAGGGCTTGTGCAACTATATCTTCCTTGTCACAAGCAATCCCTCCAAATACTTCACCTACTAGATCCTCAACTTCATCTTCGTCATCGAGACCATCGGCCTCATCTGGAAGATTGGCTTCATCCCCTTCGTCCAATTCCTCACCGTACTCAATCGGATCCTCACCGTCATTAACCTTGATTCCAGGAACAGGGAGAGTGGCACCGTGGGGGATAGATGGTTTTGTACGACCAACTGTTTGACCAATGGCCTTGAGACCATGACCAACAACAAGATTGAGTTTATGAGCGTAGCATCGGACATGATGACTCGAGCTATCCCAATCTGCCGGATCTTCAGCGTCTGAAAACATTGAGTCGAGTGTGGCTGCCATTGTTCGATTATTGCCTCCACTATCAGTGGTCTGGGCTACCATGTAAGTATGGTATAATTAGAATAAAATGTGGAAAGAGGTATCGAGATGAAATGTGAAAATAAGTTTCGAGATGAAAAAGATAAAAATGAATTAGAAAAAAGATGAAAGAGAAGTGCCACTTATCTTTTTGTGAAGGTTGTGTTTGATCAAGAATTTACCAATGGGTTGAGCAAGAAGAACCCCGAAGTGGCGCCAACTTACCATCTTGAGAGTAAGATGTGTAGATTTGTATTGCCAGTTATTGTCGACGTAATTGGCTGAGGCTCCAAAGAATGCATATCGATTTCCTTTTGTCGTCCAAACGTCGTGAATCAAACAAAATCGACCCTTGTTTTCCTGTAATGAGACAAAGAAAACATGATCAGACAAATATTTCGAAATTGGACTAGGGAGAGGTAGAATGTTACTTACTTGCAATCCAGTAATGGCTTTCTTATGCAATTCAGAAAACAGATTGACTGATTGCTGGGAAGCCCATGTCTTAGATCGGACTGTGGCACTTCGATTAACCAAGTGAAAAGCCGCACACAAGGTAACGTCTTCAAACCAAGCCCAAGGGAGGGCTTGTCAAACGATCCACATGACAAGTATCATGTTTAGTAAATCAACGCTGAATTTTGGTCCACTTACAAAAGAATCCAAAGTGTTGGTTTGTTCCTTTTTCTCAGCCTCGAGTTTCTCAGTGTAGGTGGGTGGTAGATCGAGACCAGCGGCGATTGCTTGGTGTCGCTCCTTGCAGGAAGGTCAAAATTCGTTGCCATCACGATGGCCCCATAGTGCAAAGTACGTGGTTGGTTGCTTAAGGTATGTATTCAAACACCATCGGCATTTGTATGACCGACCCTAGGTAAGAAAGAAGTGTCAGGCACGAGGATCGATATAACTAAACTATAGAATCAGATCACAATCTTACCTTAGGAGGGAAAAAATAAAGAAGCATCTTCTTCACAGCAAGACTTTGAACCTTGTTATATCCGACTTCCTTGTTAGGCTCGACAATCTCGATGTCTGATCCTTGTGACAGGTCCACTTCGTCAGGGACCTCATAGGGCTAGATCAATCGAATCATTAGTATTAAACTTATGAACTAAGTTACTAAACCAAGTCTTACCTCCAGATTAGACTTCTTGACTGGTCGAGCTGTGCCGTCAGAAGTGCTTGGTGATGGTGATCTAGCATGTTTGCTAGTTGATGAGCAAGGCTAAAAATAAGGTAAGTTAAGTCAGTCTTGGTTTCATGATTGTAGAATCAAGGAAATGAATGATCTGACCTTTCCTTGTGCGTTCGGTTTCACTTTTGCTTTTTCTGGTCCGTTGGCCCAAGTTTTCTTTTTGATGACGGCCGGAGGGCGTGGTGAAGCACGCCGACCAGCAAGTGGTCCAGCTGCAGTTGATTCATCCTCAGTAGCGTCTTCGGTAGCTGACGAGACAGACAAGGTGAGAGAAGCACACGAGTCTTTGGGTGGGATCACAAAGCCTGCCTGTGTACGAGAGGGGCTACGTGGGCGAAGAGTTCGGGTGCTTTTACCTGGAACAGAGAGATGGTTTTGAGTCGAACTTTGAGATTGAGAATCAGAGACCATGATTGATCAGTGAATGGAGACAGATGTTTGATAGAAAAGGAAAACTGAAAAAAGAGAGCTTTCGAAGTTTCAAAAGACACATACCTTTTAAATCTTCGAAAGCTTTGAACGGCGGTGAACCACAAGTCGGCCACCAACCAGCTCCCATAAGGAAGGTAGAGCCATGCATTGGCGTCCATCGATTGATACGGAATGGTAAGGTGATTGTACAGTTGGTATGGTGTTTCTTGATTGAGTGGGAATGTTGAGAGGTGGAGACTCGAGTCAAGTGGCAGAGGGGAAATCAACTACATACAGATGGGTGAAAGGGTTTTCAACCCCAGCCTACCTGTATGTTTTGCTCCGATATATATCGGAGCAACAACCCCAGGCCCGGGTTTTGCAGCAGTGGCTGCAATATGGGAAACTCTGGCCCTGGGTGTCGCTGCGGATCCTCCGCTATGTAATCCAAAGGATGTAGCGGAGGTTTTTATCGCTTCGAAACCGCTCCGAAACCGCCATATATTTCGGAGCGGTTCCGGTATTGCTCCATATTTGGAGTACTGACCGTGTGAAACCTGTTTTGCTGGAAATTGAGGCTCACACGCATGGTGAGCTGTTACCTTTCCAGCCCGCGCGGGATGCTTGTTTTGTGACCTAGACCTGCAAACGTAAAATATACCTTATGTGTATGTCAGAAACGTTACGTTTGCAGGTCTGCGTTGGAGATGCTCTTAGTCATATACAATATGTAAAAGTCAAGTGACATTAGATTTCATTTCAATACCATTTATACAACTTTATAAACAAGCGTGATGAGTAAATGAATGTAATATGAGAGGATATGATTATAACGAGAGCAGAGAGAGATCAACACAAACAGTCTCTATTTGTCAGTCTTGAGTAGTTTGGCCCAGGTATGCAAATGACATTGATACTTACCAATCCAACTGGGTATCATAATAGTCTTGAGCATTGATGTGTTTCGGTGTCTACCAAAGACATCAGGTGAAGGCAGAACAGACAGGTCTCTGGCCTCCAAAGCAAAAAAATGATTGTGATTGACAAACACAAATACAATTGGGATGTGCGTGTTTGGTGTGGTGTGATAAGGGAAAAAGGTGTTGCAGGTTTCTTGGTGTGGGTCCAACAATATAGTTAGACAATCATAAGCACTTGCTATTATAAACCCTGTATATGGCATCCATAACCAGTAACGGTCAGAGAATTTGACTGTGTGGTGATCAAGTCGAATGAGTAAATCTTGGACTATCTTGGAAGCCACTGATTTAGTGCTCGAAGTCTTGATGGGACAGGTGAGAGTCGTAGACACCGCCAACATAGATGCCTCGGATTTTTCAATCCGAGGCATCATCGGATGGAAACCCTTGGACAGATCTTGTCCAAGGATTTGATCTGAGGTATTTTTTGGCGCTAAAGGATACCTTGGATCAAAACCTTGGAAAGATTCTGTCCAAGGATTTGAGTCCGATGATACCTCGGATTGAAAAATCCAAGGCATCTTTGTTGGCTGTGAGATATAAGCAATTTGTGATCTTGAGCATGTGAAGTAAGCTTGGCAAGTAACTTCTGTCAAACATTTGGATACAAAATTTCAGAAAAAGTACCGATACTATGTGCAATAGCATAGTATCCACAACTCCCTGGAGCAGGCAGGTTGAAAGTTGACATGATGTATGGTACAATGAAGGCAGGAAGCTGTCTCAATATCCACTGATCTTGTTTTGAGTTAAGAACACTTTTCCCAACAGTTTTCCCAACTAACGTGTTCAAATTGACTTGGCTGTCTTTGACTTTGCTGTCTTCTATACCTCCATCATCAGTCTAGAAAACTGCATTCGCATAAACTTGGCTAGCCTCAAGCGTAATTATGACTTTGGTATCACTCTTTGGAAGGTCCAGATCTTCAGCAATGAGCAACATGGCCACTTCGGGCACCAGCACACGGCGGAGGACGTATTTGGGTGGAAAAGTTGCGGCTTTGTCGGCATTCAGTGGATTGATGGACAATTTGGACAAGAACATTCTTGTCAATGTGTTGCTGATAACCACAAATCCTCTTTGGCCATAGCTGAGAAGTAACAGAATGTTATCAGTCAATCAGATAACAACTGTGAAAGTAACCAGCACTCACTAGCCAGGGGTCTCAACCTCAAAACCCTTGAACTTGCCAGCAAAACTGACATGTACCGTCCCTGTTTTTTCCACTTAAGTCTGGCATCCTCTAGAAAAGACAAAGAAGTTTGATTGTTCACAATTTGCATGAGATAATCCCTGTGCTTCTGAATGAGCCTATTGGACCCAAGAATTAGTACTAGTTTTAGATAAGACCCAGCACGATGAACTTACTGCTCTAGAATCCCAAAGTCAATTTCAGTGGGCCACCCTTTGCGTATTCCAGATGGTATCATGTCTTGTTCCACACAATGTAGGTCACAAAAATCTGCGGTTTGTTGAAACTATAGTAGTACTGATCAGCAACTCTGATGATAACTTCTTCAACCACGACATGACTTACAGGTAATGACATTGCATTGGGCATAGCAAACAGAGTATATTTCAAAGTCAGAAGTTTGTTGGAAGGGTCTGAAGGAAAAGGCAGTTCACAATATGGACACAAATCATCATTGTTGATGTCATCATCTTCCTGTGCATCCAACATACTGGAATCTGAATGCGAGTCATGATCTGATTGCTTTGAAGTAAAAAATTCATGGCATCCAATTGGATGAGACCAAACAGCCCAAAATTGAGTTGGTACAGCCCGGTGATGCCCGGTAATAAAGAAACGGGCAGTTGCATGATGTATAGCCCAGTTTTGCTGTGAGCTGCGGTGAAATTTGGTCTGGGCAGGTCTGGGTATGCGGAGAATTGGTGGGTAAAGCCCCAAAAAACACCGGGTGTTGGGTTCTTTAAACCGGGCGCCAAATAGTGCCGTCCAAATGAAACATGCACCACCAGATAGACATCTTAACTGTTGCAGAATGTGATGTCTCATCAGAAATTTTATAAGTGAACACACCCTAAAATGTAGCAGGCAGATTTGTTGCATACCGGAATAGTGTTCTTAGCCATTTACGGTACCTACAAGGATCACCACTGCTCTAAGTTCATAATGTTAGGAAGGCTTTTTGTAAGATTACTGAAATGAAAAGGACTTCAGCTTGTCTTTCACATGAACAGGATCTTCAAAGGAAACCAATGTCTTTTTACTTGGCCAGGTTCATGATATACAAAAGTTTAAGAAGATGAATGAAAAAGGAAAAGAAAGTAAAAGTTAGAAATGACAAAATGAAAAGGAAGATAAAGTGAAATTTAGAGAAGACAATAAAAAGCAAGAAAAAGTTGGAACTAGAAACCAGGTGAGATGAAACAGCATACCTTATGTACTGTATCTGTAGGCTCATTTTTCTTCTTCACAGGAGCTGAACAATGTTGAGACAAATTCAAAGAGTTACAAGAGTTTGTGATTTTTTGTACCATTGCCAGCATTGCCATTGATGCATTTGTGAACCCGTTTCTTCAGATGGGGTTGAACCAAACAAGACAATAAAACAGCAATCAAAGCTGCTCCTGATTGGTTGTCCTGGTCTCCAGGAACTTTGGGGTCACCATTTGGGACTTGGAGAGTATTTCAGGAATCTGGCTATTGACGTATGAAGCCAGGTCAAGGGCATACTTGGCTATGTACACAAAGGGTTCAAGCTGATGATGTGGGAGGTAAAGCAAGCAAACTAAAATCAAGCTGAAGGCAGTTTGGGTGTAGTTTCTGTTGATGGATGAAGGCATAATAAAATTTAAATCTACAAGATGATAGAGATGATCTATAAGGTGTAGAAAGATAAGATTGTAACAAATTATGCTTGAGCAAACAGAAAGGGATAAAAGAATGATCAAAAAATGGGAGCAAGAAATGGATGGGGACTCACCTTGAGGCCATTCTAACAACCAAACAGTCAAATGTTCTGCTCTACCAGGAAACAAAAGCAGGGTTTGTGCTCCAGGGTGGCTGATTCAAGCTCAAGGGGGGTGGAATTGGAAGGGTGAGGTGGTTTGAGATGGTGATCATATTTGTATGGTCTGGTGAGCTGGAATTGCTAATACACTTCTGGGGGTTTGTGTGTTTTTCTACTTGGTAGGGTGTTCTAAAGAAGGTTTGAGAGATAGGTACCAGAAAACAGCCCCTACATGAGTTTTTAAAGATGTAGGCACTGTTTTTGGGTTGAAAGTGTGACCTTTTTGGAAATCTAGTATCTAGTCTCCAAGCCACATGTACATCCTTAGCTGGACAGAGGATTGATGCATGTAGCAAAGATGCTGGTAGAAAAGCCAGTTGACTTCATGTAGGCAATGGCCATACTTTACACTGTGCCTCTCTGGCTGGATTTACTACCGGTGTATCTGATGTCTAGCTGAAGTTCATTTGAAGCTTTATTGAAAATACTTTGAAATTTGCTTGAAATCCTCTTGAAGTTGGTAGTAGTGTGTGGCCTGCTGACTAGTAGCTGGGGGCTTTAATTGGACTCAAATTCTTGGACAGACTCTTTCCAAGGATTTGATTCAAGGTATTTTTGGTGAAAAACATTACCTTGGATCTAAACCTTGGACAAGATATGTCCAAGGATCTACATCAGATGATGCCTTGGATTCCACAAACCAAGATGTTCTTGGTGCTGAGAGAGTCATCTAAAAGCATGACTTCTGAGTTCCCACAGAAATTTGTCACAGGCTTTAGCCATAGCTCTAAGAGAGGTTTAATCTTTCCACAGAATTACAAACACTGCAATCCAATCTTCAGCAACTATAACCAAAGTGAGAAACTGGCACCAAGAGAGCACTGTATAATCCCATGAGGTGTAATTCTGTGGAAGCTCAAAAGTCATATTTTCAGATGACTACCCTTTGTAGAGGCATTCCAGGGTCCAGGACATATACTGATTGGTAAATGTGACACTGGTGCCACTGCCAGGTGGGATATCAAAAAAAGGTTCTACATTGCTACTGTCAAAGGCTTATGAATTCTTTTAAGCGTAGAGGCTCCTGTCATTAGCACTTTGGAGGATTGACAAAAGGACTGGTATTTATCTCGGGTCTAATGAAGGACATCAAATCATACAATATGTTATTACTTTTCCTCAGCTGGCTCCGACCAGAAAATTGAGCTGATTCAAAAATTAGTGCACCGCTTTGCACAACCCATCAACGCACAACTTATATCAAAGGTTAAAGACCGTCCTTGTGTACAAGCCTATGATTACTTTTTGACAATCTCCTCACACTAGAGACCCAGAACGACATGAAAATTTACGCACACCTATCATGAAAGTTCAAAGACCATCCTTGAGCACAAGTAGCCCGTTCGACATTTGGGCCACACTCTTGATAATTTTGAATACCATGACCTTATTACGATCTTCTTTCAATCTTAATTTGAAGTGTGATAAGAGTTCTTTAGTCGAGATTGGTCGATTTCTTAATAAGTTGATCACTTCTTGTTCGGTCATCAAACCTACTCCTTGATCAGGTAAAGGTGAACCAGGCGTAGAGTTGATACCAGGGTTAGGTCGCTTCTCTTTACCACCTACCCCACCTGGGTGTTTTCGCTTGAGTCCAGAAGAAGCACCAACACCTGAGGTGGGTGTTGAAGGCTTAGTAGAGGCTTGAACAGGAGAAGCTGTCCGACTGAGGGTAGATTTCCCACCTGCGCTAAGTGGCTGAGGACTATTGGCACGTGAGAGTGGTTTGGCCATGTTACTAGTTCCGACAGTTGGATGTGGCGAGATAGCACGAGATTGAGTACCAAGGCTAGGAGTTCCAGAACGGGAGGGTGGTCGACTTTGTGTTTTGTCAATCTTGAGATTGGTCGGTTTCTGGGGTACAAGCTTGCTAGGATTGCGCTGGCTAGATGTGGGGTTATTGGAGCTCGGACCAGGCGTACCTGCGCGAGATGAAGGTACTGTTTTAGAATCTGTGGGGCTTGGAACCGCTGGTGCTGGGGGAGGTATGACCTCTTCGAAATCAGACTCATCCTCCTTGTGGGGTTCAAAGCGATACAAGCGCATCAGCATATCATTTAAAAGAGACATGAATATTTACAGAGTACGTAAATGAATGAAGCTCACCTCTGAAGCGTAGGGATTCTTGACCTCATCATCACTCTCGTAAAATTCATTGTCCGTTTTACGCATCAATAATTTCTTGACCGCCTTGCCTTCCTTTGTTAAATCTTCTTTGTCATCGTCTTCCTTGTCCAAGTCCATGTCTTGCCTCGTACGTTCTTCATCTCCCGCACGACCGGCAGCCAACATTTCTTTTTTCATACGTTCCTGAATGAACATAGATCAATGATATCCAGTTCAATATAATGAAAGAATGGAAAAAATAGTAAAGATCAAGGTTGAGGACATCATCCGGAATTCGACAAAGATGTTTGTCACGAACCTCCAATTCTTTCAATTCATCTTCCTCCATGGCTTCGTCATTCAAGTTACCTGCTCCCTCTTCGTCATCTGCAAAGTCTTCATTGAAGTCAAACTCGTCAAAGTCACCCTCTTGTCCCAGGTGAGGTTTCTCGTCTTCATCTTCATCGTTCCTTCGTGAGTTTGCACCATGAACAGCCGTAAAGTTTCCTCGGCGGCCATTGACATGCGAAATGACTTCGACCTGCGGTCTAGTTGATTGGGGTCCGAAGGAGAGTTTCGAGTCGTCCAAAATAGAAGGTTTAACGCTGCCCTCACGTTTCACAGGATGACTAGCCGGAGAAGGACCACTAGGGCCAGCGGCACCACGACGGCGCATAAACCATCGTCCCACGTCCTCCTTTGTTGTAGGTTTTTGCATCTTCTCGTACGCAGCTTCAGCTTCATCCGCACCCAACGTGTCATAGTTTGGACGCTGAGTAAATCGATAGAACCGATGACAGGGTAGTACTTGAAAGTATTCACCGGCTTCATTCAATCTGAATACGACATAATTGGGTGCATCGTTAGGAGAAGCCCTAGTTAACGCGCTACTGGCATTCTCGCTAGACCCGGCAGCAGCACCAGCAGATTCGTACCGCCCAATCCAACGCTCAGATCCGGTCATTGCACCGTCTTCCAATAGCCAAGACTGATACTCTTCTTTTCTTAACATACGAGCGGTTTGATCGGCAGCGATGAAGACTTGTTTGGTTTTCTTTTTGAATGCTGTAGCTTTTACTCGTGGTTGAGATCCAGATCCAGGAGCAATCAAAGTATCGTCTCGTCCATTCTTATTTGTTATTCCTTCCTTTGTATCATTTGTCGAATTAAGTTCATTCATTCCAACATTATCTTCATCTTTGATTTCGCCTTTCAATTTGATTTCTTGTTCCTTTCGTTTCTCCTCTTCAGCTTTCTTTCTTATCATCCAAGGATCCTTACGATTCAGCTTCACCGGACCAACAAATGTATCAAAATTGACAACTTTTTTTGAGGAGGGTGCAAATTTCAATATGTTGTTCTTGACATTAGGATCGAAAGCGGAAACCAAGCGATAGTCTGTGTATGTAGGAGCAGCTTTGGGTGGTGATTTAGGGTCAGTATCCATCGGAGCTGGACCTGTAGAGGCAGAAGGTCGTTGAGAAGTTGATTGGTTTCGTGGCTGGTTGCTCATTCTGAATGATCAGTAGAGCCAGCGTCAGTTCTTGATGAGGTTTATTGCTAAATAAGGAAACCCTTCTAGTCAATTAGGTATGTGTGTATGATAGTTATCGATGGTGATGTTTGGAAATTAGATTGAGGAAGTAAGGGGGAAAAAGTATTATAAGAGCGAATGATGTCAGACGTTTGTTCATGACCAATTTGGGTTTTGAGACAACGGCCTCACTTCGCTATAAGCATTTTCTTTTCTATGGCTTTAGAAAGGGTGGTCATCAAGTCTCACCACATCCATCCTCATCCATTCCTGCTCTTTCTTCATTTTAGAAAACACTGTCTATCATGGCAGGGGAGGTACAAATTAAAATCATCACACCTGTGATGCCCAAAGTGCGCGCCCTCAAATTTAATGGCCAAGAAAGAAAACCATTTGAAAGATGAGAATATCTTGAGTCAAGACTTGAAAAATGCATTGAATTCAATCTTGACTCCCTGTTGATTGTGATGCAAGAACTAAGCCTAAGAAAACAGTCTTCAGTATTCAAGATTGAAGATACAGTGGTTCCAACAATGGTTGATTATTTTTTTATAAAATATCTCTCCCTTGCAAAACTGATAGTTTTGGTTTTGTCAAATTTTTTCTTTTCACAAAGTCAAGTGATATGGAAGGAAGAGGATCCACAATTAAGGACCAGGTGAACTGAGTTCTTACACGTTGTTGGTAGGTCTTTCACTTTAAGAGTACTTTTTGACTCTGAGATTGGCAAGGATCAGCGTAAACATGATGCTGGAGTTGGTGGTTAGGTCCAGCTTGGGACTTGGTTAAGTTTGGATATCACCTCACAAAGTTCATGCCAGCAAGCAAAGTCAAAATGGAGTGTGATTTAAATCACTCTCAAATGGGGAAAATCCTGAATATTAGACAGGCACAATATCAAATAGTAAGGAGATTTGAACATCTAGAAATTCACCCTTATGTCTTTTTACTATGCAATGAGAGGCATCCGGACTCAGGTCTTGAGGAATCTCAACCCTGTGCCAGCAACGCAACGCGCCGCAGCACACGCGTTTTTTGATGCGTTGCTCCGCAACACGCAACACCAACAAGCAGCAGATGCTGCGTTGCGGGAAGTACCGCAACGACAAAAGTCAAGGCTAGGCTGCGCGGCGCCTCAACAGTTGCGCAACGCAACAGGCGCAACAGCGCCAAAAAAACGTCAATTTGTAAGTTTTTGGGGACAGCAACGCAACAAATGTTGTTGCGGCCCAAAAAAAACACTAATCTGAGCGATCTTGTTACGCTGCGGGTCAGGCCGCAACCTGAAAATTGATTCTACGGTGTGGTGCGGTCAGAAAAACCGCAACGCAACCGCAGCTAATGCGCCGACCCGGTCCCAACCCGATAAATTTGAGTTGGACCGGGGCCGACCCCCCCTTAAGGCCGGGTCGGCCCGGTCCGGTAGCCCTAACTAGGTGAGACTCGCTTGAAAACCCAAAAAAGCGCTATGCGCTCTTTTGATATAGAGATTTACTCCAAAATCAATTGAACCCAGAAGATCATACACCCACGTACGCGCTGACAATGCCGCCAAAACGCCCTCGGCAATCTCCATGCCCTTCTTCCACGATCATCCTTTCGGACTCCGAAGAACTTTCCCAATCAACAACTTCTACCACGTCGAAATCGGTCAAACTAACCCAGAATCAAAAATCCTGGGTTTGGAAATATTTCAAGACCGAATCTCGTCAAGGTGTTGCTAGATACGTCTGCCAGGCTGCAAAACCTGCCGGTAGTAATCGGATCTGTGGCGCCGTGATGACTCCCGATCGAACTCAGAGTACGAAGTCTTTATCTCGTCATCTTGACCGTTTTCACAATATCACTTCTACGGTTGAACCCCAACAAGGTGCAATCAAATCCTTCCTTCAAACTGGGACAATTCAAAAGGTATGTTTGTTTCATTTCCTCGTGTTTCTATACTTTTATCTTTCATCTCTATTCTTTTATCTTTTATCTTTTTCGTTTTCTTTCTCATATCTTGATTTTTTTCTCTTTTCTATGCTTTCTATCCACAATTCTTCATTTTTTTGGTCTTTCAGCTTCCCACTCTGTCTCGCGATTCTCTCAAGTATCAACTGGTGAAACTTATCACCAACGGCGAAATGCCGGCCGCCGTTGTCGATCGCCAAGAATTCAAAGATCTTCTTCGTATCTGTAATCCGGACGTTGGGCCTCTTCTTGTTGGTTCCGATTGTGTGTTGGAAGCGGTTAAAACTCAGTTTCGAGTGTGTCGTGTTCTTCTCAAGGACGTATTGGCCAACTCTCTTGCTATCAACTTGACCTGTGACGAGTGGTCCTCATCAAACAATGTTCCAATTCTTGGAATTACTGCTCATTGGATCGATGAAAAATTCAGATTACAAGAAGTCATTTTAGCTATGCAGGAGATCGAAGGTCCAAAGACTGGTATCAATCTTGCAAAGTACTTTATCGAGTGTCTTCAGAAATTCAATATCGAATCGAAAGTTTATTGTGTCACCGCTGACAACGCATCAACCAACGGAGCAATGGCACGAGAAATAGCTAATGAACTTGAACACTTTCAAAAAGAAACCAATTTGCTTGGTTGTGTTGCTCATGTTATAAACTTGGTTGCTCGAGCTGGTATATCTGTATTTTCAAAGAACTTGGGCGAAACTACTTCGGTCAACTTATCTGATATACTTGAAGAAGATTCCTTCAATCAAATCAATGCACCTGGAGCCATCAGTCGTCTCATGGGATTCATCACTGCCATCATGAAGACCCCAAAGCGCAAGAGAGCTTTCGAAAAACTTGTTGAAGCCGAACTTGGTCGTTCTCTTGGCCTTATCCGAAATGTCAAAACTAGATGGAATTCCGATCTCAACGCTATGAAGAGAGCTCTGGATCTCAAGGAGGTCATTATCTTGAAATGTTCAAGAGACCAAGATATGACCAAGTTTCAACTCAATTCAGCCGAGTGGGACCTGATTGCCCACCTCACTCGATTCCTTGAACCCTTTGAAAAAGCCACCAACATGCTGTCTCAGTCGACTTACACCAGTCTTGATGCTGTCTTGCCTGTCTATGAGTGGCTTGAGTCTCAACTCGAAAAGGTAAGAAATTTTCAACTTGTGTATTCAATTTTATGATCAAGCTGACAGTGATTACAATCCCCTAATAGGCTTTAATCATGTTAGAAAACCATCCGATCCGGCCAGCCATTGCTCCAATGAAGACCAAGCTGACCGAATACTTTAACGAAGCTGTTCTCAAACCCGTTTATCTTTGTGCTCACCTATTGGACCCTCGCAGCAAGGACCAAGAACTTTCTTCGGTCACTCTCCTGCGAGCTGGAATTATCAATCAAGACGATTGGCGAGACACCTTTTTGAAAGAGGCTCGCCAATTCATTCCAACCACCGAGCAAGATGATGAAGATATCAATTCATTCACCCAAGCTGAAGATGATGGACCTCGATCTTTTATATCAGCTCCTAAGACAAAGCGAACTTTAGATGTAGAACTTCTCTCTTACCTTGCTGAACCTCGAGAGCCAGGCAATCGTGATCCCTTGGAATATTGGAATGAAAATTCCAAGAAATATCCTTTGCTATCCAACATGGCTCGTATCTTCCTCTCGGTTCCAGCCTGCAGCACTCCTTCCGAACGCGCCTTTTCAGCTGGAGGAAGAGTTCTCACTAAACGTCGCCACGGTCTGAAATCAGATACATTTGAAGCGCTTGTATGCCTCAAGACTTGGAACAAGGTGTTCACTACAATTGGTTTATTTTTTTCAATGATTTTCTTTTCTATAACTTTCTATATCTAGAATTGTTTAGTTAACAGTATCTAGCCTACAACTAAGAAACAAAAGTGTCTTTTAAAGTGTCTTTTATACATGATTTTTGAAGAAATTAAGATGAGTTTCGTTGGTTTTCAGCCCTTTTCACCAAAACTTGCCCCCCCTACCAAATGAGCGGGTCGGTCCGGGTTGACCCGGATCCAGCCAAATCCTTGCCGAGACCCGCGTGACCCGGTCCCGGCCCCGGTCCCGGACCGGGTCGGCGCATCAACCGCAGCGCAGCACGCAACACCTGCGTTGCTGGCCCAGGGTTGTGAGGATCATCATACATTGGTCATAGACAAATGGATCATGTTGTGCCTCACTGAAACTATGTGAGGCACAACAAGAAGGAAACAAGCAATTCACTGATTGGATTGCACATGGCATCCCAAATGGATAAATCACCCAATTTTGAGACACAAATGTGATCAAACATGAAAACTAAGTCATTTTGGCAATGCTGAATTCAACACTGAACTCAAGCCAGAGCATATTTTCAAAGTAGTCAGTAAGTCAAAAGATGACAATACAAATTTGATTTTCTACCACATGCACATGGATCATTTCTGGGAACTTAGAGGGGCATAAGTAGGGATATTTGTAAAGACAATTTATCTTAAAAGTGTCATCAATTTATCATCTTTCATCTTTGGCTTATAATGTTTTTTCATTTTTTTGTATCTTCGTGCGCAAGTAAATGAAGTTGTACAAAATCAAAGAAATATTATATTTTGATTAAATGATAGCAAGCAAATGCACTGTACAAAGTCAAATATATGTTATATCTTAATCAAATGATGTGAATGTAATGCAGATAAGATGTTGGGGGTTCAAAAACAAAATATCATAAGATGATGGAGAGTTTTAAACAAAAGTTTGAAATGCTCATTCAGGTTTTGAAATATTAATCTTCAAACATGTCTACAAGCAGCCACTGCTTGCTTATAATTGTGGGACATCTCTTCTGTGATTTGATTTTTCATGTTGTTGGCTTGCATACACTGACCAGAAGCTGGGCAAGACCAGTGTGTGTCATCATCATTGTGGCCCAGCCTGGCTTCTAGATGTTCCTTCAAAGCATATTCTTTGTAAAAGTTGTCCTTGTCAGACTTAACTTGGATGATGTTGTGTAAAACATACACAACAGGCAATTATGATCCCTACTTGAGTCTTATAATGAAAGACAGAATGTATGCTGATAAAGAAGATTGTATCTTCATGATGACAAAGATACACTTGATAACAATTTGGAGCAATGAATGTTAATGATTATAAAGCTCATTGGTGGTCTGTGGAAGACCCAAGTGCCTCCACTGCTTGAGGGGTTATCAAGCAGATCAATGTGGTGTAGGAAGCCTGGTACATTTGCATAGCCAGAATTGGCAATGTAAAAGTAATCTGAACCAAGGATACTAGCAATGTGAAGATGTAAAAGTGGAGTCTAGGAACAACATAACTTACACAACCACAAATGTTTCCTCCTCAAGTGCTTGACAAAGCACTCAAGCATCTGCATAGTGACCTTCCACACACATGTGCACAAAATTAAACAGCATGTTGAGGGAACAGCCAGCTAACACACTTTGGCCTAGATCCCCTTTTCTATCTTGATGAGCAGGATAACAGTTGGCAGGAACAATTCAAGGTATGTGGGTGCCATCAATAGCACCCACACATTTTTTGAAGTAGAGAGTCATTCAGGGCTTGCTTTGTATTTATTTTGGACATATTTAATTCAAATTAGGTTGAACAATGTATACTGATTGATTTGAAATAATGGCATTTAAACATTTGTTAAGATTTTTGCTAACAGTTTGACAGGATTGTTGAATAACCTCCCTATCAAGGCAATTGGAGGCAGAGTTGCCAACAACAAATAAGAAGATCATTACACATTCTTCAGGTGTTATGCTTTGGTTTTGGTCAATAATAAGCCTGCCTTCAAGAGGTCTCATCAAGCCCTTCACAAGCTTGTCCATTCTACACAGTTCTCAAATGTACACATCACTTCCTTCTGTTATTTATTTGGTACATACATTCCCTTACAGTTTTGGAGGTTCAGCAGGAGAGTTTGGGAATTGATCAAGACTGTAGGAAGTCCTTCCTAGCCTAAAATACAAGCTTTAAAAGATTATTTTTCAAAAGGAGGCTGAGGATATTGAAAATGTTGATGCTGAGCTTGAGATGATTGGTGGTGGTTGTCTGTACCACCACCACAAATTGTTTGCTTTTGATCTTTTGTTGCTTGATGGTCATCAAGACAAACACTCTTCACAAGTTTTTTTGTCTCTTTCTTTCATATAGTCAAATTAGGCCTTTTTTAAGAAAAAAAAGGCTTTTGTACATGTACAAAATTTTTAAGAAATTGCACTAAATAAATGTGCTCTAGGATAATTATATTTTTAAAGACAATTGATAATTATCAATAAGTGTAAAAAAAGACAATAAAAATTAAGACTAGTATACATAATTTATGAAGTAAATCATCCAAATTCATTGATCATAACAAGTGAAATAAATCAAGAAAAGGTTCATAAAGATTTCCAAAAAAGTGATTAAAAATGTTTGAGAATTTAAGATTGATATGTACAAGAGTTTTTTTTCTCTTCTTTTCAATCATCTTCATGTCAAAAATCATCATCAGTTCGATTACCACGGTTTTGTGTTTGTGGTGACGGAGTAAAAGCCACAATACAAGAGATCTAAAAAACGATACATAGCAACAATTTGTATCAGTTTTTTTTTGATATATCAAAGGGGCATTTTAGAAATCCAGAAAAAAGTTGTTTTATGAAAAAAGGAGCTTACCAATCCAAGACCCGCACCTAGTCCTAAATTCCAAGTTAAATTTGCCCATTCTACTACAATTAAATAGATTTGAGTGAATGGTAATGCATTTTCATTTTTACACCAAAGTGTAACTACCAAGAAGATTTGATCAAGATTAAGTGAATTATTTTTCATATGAAAAGATTCTACAATGTGAAAGAAATGAAAAGAAAAATTGGATAACTCACCTACTAAGATATGCATAATGATAAAAGATAAAATCACAATCAAAATCAAAACTTGCTGCCAAATAGTATTCACAATATACCTTTTCAAAATCCGATATTTTCTTAAATTTGAGTCTTGTGGTATGCTTCCATTTACATTTGCAGTTGAGTTTTGAGTATCATTGTGTAATTCTAACTTCCACATCTTTTCATCAATTCCAGTCCCTCTTTTAAAACTTGGAAACCAATCTAAAACACTTTCTTTTAAATCAATTTCTTGATGATAAAGTTGATGATCACCACAATGAGAAGATTTTGATTTTCTTGGCATCGAATCTGTTTGTAATTGATTTGCGTGATTTATTTGAGGTTGGGTTGTAGTGGAATGAATAGATTGTATATTTCTATAATTTAATGATTGATTCAAGGTTAAAATTTCAGGTGATCTTCTTATTGAATTAATGGCTAATCTTTTATAAATCTTAAGTTGAAAAAATAATGCTTTAAGAATGATAAATGTAGAGATTAATAAAATGATAGAAACGATTGCAGTGATCGTTATATAAACAAAAGCGATTAATCTCATATTCATTTTAAGTGTTTTACGATAATGTTGCATTAAATGCAGATATTTCAATCCGCTTGATATTTGTTCATCTTTCGTATGTTGATCCACTGTAGCGTCAAGTATAAGATCGTGTGAAGTTTCGAATTGATGCCAAATCTTAGCAACATGATGCATACTTGATAAAGTCCAAACGCACATCAGTCCACTGAGTGATAAAGGGACCAAGTATCCTAAACCAATGATGATATTGAAGATGATAGGAGCTATATAAATCAAACATCGATCTTGTCTTGAACTTGAAAACTTTGACTGATTTTTCTGCAGCTGAAATTTCGAACGTGGTATTGCATAGACTGTCGACCATACTAAAAAACAACAAAGAAACTTGAGTATTGGCTTTGTCAATGATTTTTTTTCATAAACAATTGAACCTTATCACCTCTAGTCCATACTATTGGTTTTGGAAATTTGCACAAAGAGATTTAAAGAAACAAGGCTCATCAGATTAGGTACGAAGTTGAATTGAGCGATAAAAAGTGAAAAACTTACTCATTCCTAGAAATAAAGAATATTTAACAAGCTCTATCGCGACATGAAGTGGTGGAGCCCGAGGTGATTTCTTAGTCGAATTGATTTGACTCATGATCAAACTAATCACGTTAGCTAGATGATAAAAACCGTTACCACATTTAATCAGATAAAAGCTTTCAATTATAATTTTATCAGATAATAATGATTACCTATAGTATATAAGATGGCCCAAACCGGAATCAAAACACAAGTATTAGGATAGATAAATCCACTCGGGTTCTTTCGAATTAACCATCTTTCAGATGTTTCTGAAATTCTTTTGATCACACTTAATGCGTATAAAATACCAGCAAGTGGACTAAGAAAGATACAAGTTACGAAAATCTTTCGTAGATTTGAAGATGGAGTTAATGACAATTCAAGTTGAAGTTGATTATGAAGTTCTTGCCATTGAGAAGTATGATTCATGGTTTGAAGATTCAAATGATTCTAAATGAAGTGATTTGTTAGGGAAGATGAAGATTTTGAAAAAGGAAACAAAACTGGAGAGCCAAATGATGAACTTTGATTAAACATGGATATTTGAAACTGGATGAGTTCCTAAGAAATATGCACCGGTGGAAATATGAGTATGTATGGTTCGTCATCTTAAATGACAACTGTCACGATCATCTGGTCTCAAAGTCAAAGGAGGGTCTGGTTTGCTGCGTGTATCTCACCTCGACCCACGAGATGGTGAGCTTATTGAGCCATCCTCTCATATGCCAAACTCAAGAGACTGTACAGTCGAATTTCAGTCATGTACTTGAAGCTACTTGAAGTCGGTTCCTCTTCATCATGAGCGAAATCATGTAGAAGGAAATAGATATCCATTCAGTAAAGACTGTGACCTGAGATGATCCTTTGGTCGATGAGAGTGATAGTATCTAATGCAGCAGGCGATGTTCAAAAGAAAAGAACGATCTGATGAAATTGTGTGATACGAATTCTTAATGTTGATAAAGAGAAAAAACAACGGGAAAGTGAACATGAAAAAGATTATCTGATAACATGATGAAGGAATAAAAAACATTAGGTAATCTTCATGATGTCATAATCATCATGATCGTCATCAGTATCGTTACCTATCATCAGTCCATCCACGACAAATGTTATGTGAATATTTTTCCACATCCCACTTATGTGGCTTTTTACTGAAGTTACAGTGATGGCTTCTTACAAACTTTTGTTCGCACTCACTGCGCCCGGATGGACATGATCTCTCCAGAATCTCCGCTCCTTGGCAATTGTCCTTGTTATAAAACTTTGATCATGGATCTTGAAAAAATCGTGTGCGCCTAAACTTAACTCGAGCCCCAGCGAGGGACTTACGCCAAATTTGCATGCAGAAAAAGGTCAGGAAGAAGAGTTTGGCTGGGGACGTCCTCACAAGCCTTATGTACCTTTTGTTTACCAAGTAATCCTGCCAGACCCACAATGGACATTGTGCGAGGTGGTCTTGCGCACAATATACGCTATTTTTTTCCCAAGGAAGTTGATTTTGTCTTGTAATAATGTCCCTCAAAGATTGGGTCTCAACAGTCTCAACTACTCATGATCTAGGGCTCAAGAGAAAAGTTACATGTGCTATCTGCCGTTGGGAGCCTACACCATGGGAGGGTTCTGTGCCCAAATTCGGTCGACCGCGGCCTGAGATCGGCCGGGTCGGATTTCAGCCCACGGGCGTGGACATTGGCCGTCCACTGGCGACCTGTAGACCATGAATTGTGCGGGCCATTCTGTGCGGCCATTTGGCCACCCTCGGACCATAGTCATCGCAGACCTGCTTATGACCGGTTGAAGATCGCCGGAAGACCAGTCTTCAACCAATGACTCCCGTCTCCCACCGTGTCGAACTCACTGGGTTAGGTCAAGTTTGATGATACCGGTGACTCGACCTTGCTCCAATCATCATTTTCCTTTCCAAATCTCTTTGTTTGAACTTACATTCCCCTTGCCAATTGACAATCAACGACTTCAGCTCCAACACCTCCGATCAACGTCATCCGACTTCGATACCATGTCCGTCTCTATTTTCAACAACCTCTCGCCAACATCCTACAACAGCACTTCAGTGTTGATTTCAATCATTCTCACAACAGCTTGCATCGGTTAGTCGCTACATCACCTCAATTTCAACGTCAATTATCTTCACCCCGACACTTGTCTCCTTTACCTCCGAGATTCCTGGCTGTTTTATCTTGTTCTCATGTCAAGTAAGTTTTTGTCTTGTTTCTTTGCATTTAATCTTCTGATTTTGATATTGATGATCTTGCTACTTTGATTGTTTTAGTCTATTGATCGATTTTTGAAGATCTTCACCGATCATATAGTTTTTTTTCACACATTGTATGCTTAACATTATACAGTTTCAATCTTATATTCGTTTTTAGGGTTTGTTAGCAATTTGGTATGACTAAACTGCCCGGATGCGAAACATGGAATGAATTCTCATGTAAGTAAGCTCTCTTATTTTGTCTGATTTGATTTTACTGAAGTTGATTCTTGTCTCTATTAATCATTCATGTCTTGTTAGGTGAGTATATAATCTACTGTCTAAGCGATGAAGTCATGATGCGAATGAGGTAGTGTTTTTCTTTGAGATCAATTGTTACATAAAGAAATCAATGTATTAGCTATTTTTAATTGGCTTTTGTAGTGTTTGTAACAGAAATGCAATGTAAATGATTGAACAGGGTAATGATCAAGTGTGGACTTATAAACTACTGAGTTGGCCTGCTGTTGAGAGTAAGGATGATAGCAAAAATATACAACGTCTGAGGGCGCATCTCATATTCTACGCCGTCCCTTGTAGCCGCACCTTGAATAGTGTGCAGCTACCAGGGGCGGCTTTTTTGCGCGCCCCCGAATTCACTGATGGACCGCCTGCGGGTCGTCTTCATACGACCTCATTGCCGCTTTGTGGCTGTCCAACGGCCGTCGCAATAGGCCGCCGGCAAACAGAATAGCCTAGGTCTACCCAAAGGCCGCCCATCCCTCTGCAGGGATGGGCGGCCTTGCAACGGCCGTTCCTGCCGGACCGAAGGCGGTCCAGACCCTCCCGTGGTGTACCTTTGATGAGCTTTTTAGGCAAGAAGGATGTAACTTCCTGGGGGAAGATGGTGTACTGCAAGACTAACACACAATGTTTACTTTGGGTCCGGCAGGAGTCCTTGGTAAACACAAGGTACAGAAGGCTTGCAAGGACGTCCCCAGCCAAGCTCTTGTTCCTGACCTTTGTCTGCATGCAAGTTTGATGTAAGTCCCTTTCTGGGCCTTGGCTTGCAAGCAACAGTGTAGGATTTTGGCAAATTTAAGGTATGCCACACTTTCAAACATGGATCTTGGTTTTGAAAGTTTACAATTCTTCAAGCTCCCAATGGCTATCTATGTAGGAAGTACATGTCCTCACACCTATGATTTTTAACCATTGGGGTTGCCTGGTACCAAAACCTGGGACCACATTCCTTTCCACATAGATTTTCAACTATGTACAGGTGGATCACTTCAACTTATTTTCTCTGAATTAAAATTTGTTTTATCAGAAAACAATCAGGGATTTTTGCCTGTGTTTTGATCTATTGAAAGATTTGGATTGATTGATCAGAAAAATTTAAAAGGGTCATTTAAAGGGAGATGCAGTTTTGCCCTGGTACTGCTCAAGCAATGGAGTGAATACATAAACCACTTGGAGGGGACTGTACATGGACCATGTACAGTCTGGTTTTCAGAAAGGTTGAAAAAATGATCAAAAAAAATTGGTCATGTGGTCCATGTGCACAGTTGATGTTAGGGCTGTGACCCGGCCCCGGGGCGCGACCTGGCCACAAAGAAACCCAATGTCCTTCAAAAATGGTTCAGGGCCAGGCGGGGCGCACCCTGAACTTGAGGCCTAGGGGCCAGGCAGAGTCAGGCTAAGATTTTAGGCACAAAAACCACAAGTTGTACAACTTGGGATGATTGGCATCCCCGGTGGCCGACCTGCCCAAGTGCCCTCAGGGCGCCTTTGTGAGTACAACACGTGAGGTTTTGTGGCCCTGGGGCACGGACTGCAAGCTGTCCAGAGGTTGTTGGGCAGACTCAGCCGGGCGGGGCTGGGTCCGGCTCCGGCGCGCAGCCCTAGTTGATGTAGCCGGAATGTGGGTGCATTCCAACAGGACCCTGGAATGCGCCTACAGAGGGTAGTGATGAAGCCCAATTTCCAGTTTTTGGGCTCTACGCTACACACCACTCATTCTCCCACGCTCACAAGCACTTCAAAAGATGCACATGAAATAGGGCTATCAAATGAGCTTGGTCTGACCCCTGTAGCTTGCCTCACTGCGGCGTAAATTGCAAAGGCACAAAAAATTTTTGGGCCGCCAAGGCCCAATTCCGACCTTTGATTTTGGCTAGTTTTGGGCTTTACACTTGAATATATTGGGAAGTATCGGTGCTATGGGGTTAAAAGTTAGTGCATATGAAAGCTCTGCGTCTTGCGCTACGTTTGCGCTCCTCTAGCAAAAGAGAAGTGTGATTTTGTACCCAAATAATCTGTTACAAAAAGGTTGCAATCTACGTCACTAACCTCCGTAGGTGCATTCCAGGGTCCTATTCCAACAGACATATATTGGAAATATTCTCATACAGTCTACAAATATTGAACTGTAGCTTCATATATTGTTGGATAGAATCTGACTTCAAGGAGTTTTTTGAAAGTCAATTTTATTAAATGGTGTGGTGGTCCAAAGCTGTCTGCTTTGCACTCCTCAATGTGATTTGACCCTTGTTGAATCTTTCTTTTGCCCACACTTTGGGAATGTTTTTGGGACATTCAATGGAACTGTGCCAGTACCATTAACCTCCCAAGACAGTTCATTTTTGGTGCACCTGAGCAGCAAAAAAGTTATGTAAAACTTCATCACCAAAAAAATTGTATTGTTTTGAGATTAACCAAGAGCTCAAAAAGTGGGAGCAAAACATATGCTTTGAACCCAATTTACAAGCAGAACACATAAATACATGCATCAATCACCGCTGGTGGCCTTACCATTGTGCCATCAGCACTTCAGCAGTCATTGCAAGATGCCGTATTGATTGGGTTTGTCAAGGTGGAAATAGCTCTATGGGTGGGCTGTATCAAGGCTGTCACTATACTATACTAGTACATTATACTATGGGTATAGTATAGTTCAACTATACTATACTGAAAACTATACCAGTATACACTGTGAACATCATTCAACTTCCCCAAGTTGGAATAGGAAAATGATTAATAGTACAGTTTGTCATAGAAGGATCCAGTACTCCACACCTGAGCCATAACACGCACACTACATATGTGTAAAAGGCTCAGTGAATAGGTGGTTATCATGTACATACAGTTCTGCTTAGTTATCTCCTCATCAGAATAATTTATTCATATGTAATACATGCTGTAACTTTTTTCAGATTGACAAAAGCATTCAAAAGATTGACTGCATACACTGACTCAACATTTTGGTGTAATCTCATCAATTCAACTGCATGTAACACCCTTTTTGTTACTCAGAAAGAGCTTCAACAATATTGCCTGAGCAGCTACAGAATTATATGTAGTGAATTTTTGGGACAATTTTTGCAAAGTCAAAAAAATTACATGTGGTATAACATGTAATTTATCTATTCTGATGAGCAAAAAACTGAGCAGAACTGTATGTACATGATAGACAACTATTTACTTGGCTTGCTGCACATATGTAGTGTAGGTGTCATGGCTCAGTTGTGCAGTATTGGATCCTTTGATGACAAACTGTACCATTAATCATTTTCCTCTTCTAACTTGGGGAAGTTTAATGATGTTCACAGTGTATATTTCTCAAAAATCCTTATGGATCATCATTTGAGATTACTCTAATTTTTATAACTGAAGAGTATAATCCTTCTTAAACCTACATATATTCATTCTCATACTACGTAAATAAGTCTTTCAGTTTCCTTAAATACTTTTAGTTTTCTTTTGCAAAAATTCTATAAAAAATCTTTCTTCATTCACACTTAAAATCTTACAAGCAAGCCAGCAAACAAAGAACACAAGCAACCCGAAAAAACCTGTTTCAACCCATTTCTTCAACTTCAAGTTCTGCCCAATACCCCAAGTGATTTTGAATAGTGTCTATTTCTCAAAACTCTTGTGAATTGTAATCTGATGTTATTCTACTTTATTTAACTGAACAGTATAAACTTTATTGAACCTACATATATTCATTCTCATACTACGTAAATAAGTCTTTTGGTTTCCTTAAACACTTGTAGATTTTTTTTTGCAAAAATTCTATAAAAAAATCTTCATTCATATTCAAAATCTTACAAGCAAGCAAACAAGTCAAAAAACACAAGCCAGCAAAAAAAGAAGCAAACCAGCAAAAAAAGAAAGTAAACCAAACAAAAAATAAAGCAAACCAAAAAAAAAGGAAAGTAAACCAAGAAAAAAAGTAAAGTAAACCAACCAACCCATAAATTTTTTGAATCATTCATTGTTTTCAAACCCACTTTATTTTTTTAAATATATGTTCAACTACCACCACCACCACCACCATCTCTTTTTCTTTTCTCATCTATACATAAAGTTCTTTAAAGATACCCACAACTTGATTCATAACCCACCACACTTTACACATATATAAATAAATATAAAAAAGAACGACAAAAAAAAACAGGAAAAAGGAGATCCAAACCTCCCAAAAAAAAAAGTAAAAAGTCAAAAAACCAAACCAATTTCCTCAAGATTCTCTAGACCCAATCAAACCCATCTGATTCCCAAACCATCAGGCCACCCACTCTACTTACCCGTCATCCCAAACTCGTCCACCAACCCCTTCCCAACCCCAACCCCAACCCCAGACCTTCTCATAGACCTAACCAATGACAACCCTCCACCATTCTGATACTTCATCATCGAAGCAGGTAAGTTAGGATTCCTTAAACTCTTCAAATCGGTTGAAGAAAACGTAGGTCTGATCTTTGTCTTTTCCATACCTACACACAAATCATTAACTGAAGCAGAAGCTTTCATACCTGAGCCTACCAAAGGTTTCGAAACACTCGGTTCGTTTGATGAAGGATTTGGCAGTTTGGTCATCGAGCTGGGTTTCCCACGTAAGGAACTTAGATCGGTGGAGGAGATCGAAGGTCTCATGATCATTGGTTTTTTACCGTGGTTTGAACTGGTTGAAGAGATCGAAGAACTCGACGAAGGTTTTTTTACCATCATCGGTCGAGTGGGTTCGATTTTAAGATTTCCAATTTCTTTGGTCACCCGATCTGTAGTACTAGTAATTATCGAACTTCTAGGTCTAGAAGGAATCGAAGCTCGAGGTTGTAAGACTTTTCGAGCAGGTGATCGATGGGTCATAGAAGAACTCGAGATCGAACTTCTAGGTTTCAAAACCTTTGGTGAACCTCTAGGTAAGAGCGCATTAGAAGGTTTAGGTTTCATTCGACTAGGAGCATACGAAGAAGAAGAAGAGGAAGGAAGTCCTAATCCGATCCCACTCGTCTTTCCAGGCGGAAGAAGTGAAACTCGTTTTTTTAATGGTAATGCTGGGGGTGGCATCAGACTAGAATCGAACTCTGCTTGGGAAGGAATGATCGTAGATGATGGTCTAGGTCGTTTAGGAACCACTATCGTTGTTACTGTGGCTGGTGCAGAGGTAGGTGGACCGATCTCTGAGTTTCGTCGAGAAACTCCAGTGCCATTGAGTCGGGTACCAAAATCACGCTTTTTCAATTCAGGTGGTGGAATCGAGAGTGACACTCGTTTAGAAACTATCGGTTTAGATAAGACTTGAGGAGTGTTCAGATCAGATGAACGGGTCTTCATAAACTCAAGCAGCACTGGTTTTTTGTTTTCGTCTACTGGCGTACAACTTGGAGTTGTGCTCGCTTTTTTCTTGGGTGACCTACTAGGAGAGGCAGGTATATCTTTCTTTGACTGTTGGACTAAATTCAATCGAGCAAGTGCGCTGCTTGGGGTGGATGGTGGGTGTGCTATGCTTGCCTTTTGTCGAATGGTTCGAGTAGGGGATGTGATAGCTGGTGCACGATCACTGTGTTCATGAGGCATTGAACCGCCACGCGATTCTTGATTGGTAGGTAGTGGTGCAAGGTTGAGAGGAATCATTCGAGACATTTCAAACGTTGTAGAAAAGTCTTGTGAGATTTGCATATTCTCAGGAACAGGCTCATCCCTCCTAGAGAATCAAAGAAAAACATGTCAAAGACATTGAGTAAGTTGAGATTTGGGGAAATTGCCTTACAAAGCTTGATCCATTGAGCTTTCATGAGCCCCATTCATCTTTCGCATAAACTCATTCATATCCACCGATGCTTCTTCTTCAGTTTCCTGAAGAACTTCAAACTGTGAACCCGTCAAAGGTTTTCTAGAAGAAGAAGAGGTACTTCTTTTTCCGAGTAATGAAGATTTATTACCCAAGACTTCCATCATAGCCACATGATTCAAATCAATTGATCTTTCAGTATTTTGTGAACGCTCAAAAGCACCCCACGTCGTATCATCACCTAAAAATCCACCACTTTCATCCATGATGTTCGAAAGGTTTTCAGATCCAAAGAGAGAGCTTGAACATTCTACAATGGAAGTTGATCCATCGCTTTTAGAGAGTCCAGTTCGAGATGGATTGGGAAAGACAGCTGATGGTAAAGATGGCGGAGAAGGTGAAGGAGAAGTTGAAAGACGCGGTAAGATGGGTTCGATATCTAGTTCAGCAGGTTCAGGTATAGTGAAGCGAGGTATATGTGGCCTTCGTATTCCGGTAGTCGAAGATGGTATGTTTTGATGAGTAGGTGATCGATTTGGAGGTTCGGTTCTAGAAGAGTTACGAGAACTAGGTGGAGCGTCTACTTCAAACTCATGAACCACTTCACGAGCTCTAAAGTGACCCTGATCATCTACCAAGTCTGATTCATTACCGACTTGATCATCCACTTGAACCAAAACGCGTGGACTAAAGAATCTAGCACGAGATCCTTTACTTGGACTATTAGGCCTTCGTAAGATAGATTTGATGATCGGAATCGAATCTGGTTCAGGATTAGATGGATCTGAATCAAGTGCAGGGTTATGAGAAAGAGATGATCGAATAGCAGTTGAAGATTTAGATCTTGGGAAAAGAGATGTGGTTGGTTTAGGTGGCGTGTTACGAAGATGTGAAAAATCGGTTGAACGCGTTCGAGTTAAGGTAGTCAGAGGAGAATGAGTACGAGAAGATAAAGGTGACATTGCAGCAATAGCAGCTGGAGTTGATAGGATATTATTGATGATTGGAGGTGGTGAATGAGATGGAGTTCGACATGAATCTGGTATTTTCTAATATCCGATCAAAAGAAAGATATAAGTTTGAAGTTCGAATAGGATTGAAAGGAATAAACTTACAGATTGATAGTCAAACGAAGAGATTGAATGATCCATCAGATTAGGTAAGTTTTGATGATGGTCATGAATAGATTTGATAGAATTCGATCTTCCTCTTGAAGTGGTAGTAGTCGATTTCGATTTAGGATTCAAAGGTAGCGGAGTAGCTGAATTCAAATCGATTAAAGAAGATAATTCAGAAAGATTGATGATAGTAGTATTAGTTTGTTGTTGGTTTAAAAAAGAAGTAGCCGATTGAGCTAATAAATCAGAATAATCATTTAATGAATCTAATTGAAATTGTGATGAAGAGGGTGGATCATGATCATAACTCATCGATTCTTGTTCTTGATTGGAATCCTTCATGACTTGAGCTTAGATTGAGATTTAGTAGAATGTGTGTGGTTGGTTGATAAATGTTGAATTGGATATAGGAAGTATGTAGCTTGCTAATGCTAGTGCTGAGTTGTGAAGTGTGACTGAGAGAAAGAAACAAACCTATTGCCATTGGCTCGATTTGAATGGATTACAAATTAGATTTCTACTCAAACCTTCTCTTGGATTTCTCTCTTTCTCTCTTTCTCTCTTTCTCTGACTCTCATTTTCTCATCTACAAGCTATCATTCATTCATCTTCAATTCAACTCTGCATCTTCTTGCTTTACTCGTGAAGAATTGATTGCACACATCATAGATTCAAATCACATTTAACATTTCAAAGATAATCAAAGTTCTACTTTAGAACTTGATCAAGGAAATGTAAAATTGGGGTTCAAATCTTGATGCAATCCATTCTCCAAGCTCTCAACTCTTTAAAGATTGGCTAGGTTGTCTCCAACTCCCCACGAGACTTTAGTTGATTAAGACTCAGGAGAGAGGGACTTTTGAGCAAGGTTTTTTGGAAGCCACTATCATTGAAGTCAAAGAGAAATATGGTTCTTTCATGCAAGATCATGGATGATGAATACCCAAAGGCTACCATCTAGTTCCAATGAATCTTTATTCATCACCAACAACTGCTATCCATCAAGCCATCACAAAGACTTACTAGCAAGGAAAATGTCAGCACTTACATAACAACATTGACCAATTCAACACGCAAGTAGTGAAGAGAACTAGTGATAAATTACACAGTGGTTCTGCTTCTCCACCAAGTACAGCCATATGCATGCTTGATGGACTTTTTGAAAAAACTTTTCAAAAAATCAAAAATTCCAATCAAATTTGAGAGCTCATGATTCTCTCTTTACCAGTCTTATGAGCGCCTAAATCAATGATTTTCAGCATCACTGTGTAAATATTTTTGTAGCACATTGATGTACACACACAGAGAGTTTTGAACCAAATCTCAAAGTCTTTTGGTCAGATTTAGACTAAGATTGTTCTTGAGCACCTTTTGTGAATAGTAGTTTATTTGTAGGAATTGTGGAACCCTTTGTTGTTAGCAGGGGTCAACTGATGTTCAACCTCCTAAGTGATAAAGGGAAGATGTGCTTGTTTTGGCACCTCTTTGATGGGTCTTTACAGGGTCTATGGAAAGTCTTTTGTGTGTGCACATTGACATGCTACATGGATATTTACATGGTGATATGCATGATTGATGAACTTTTTGAAAAAAAAAATCAAAGAATCAAAAATCCAAATGAGTTTGAGAGCTCATGACTATCTGTTTAACAGTCTTATAAGTGCCCAAATCAACAACTTTCAGCAGCATACTTGTCAATCTGAATCATAAATTCTTATAGACAAGCTGCTCATGGCTTTTGTTCTCCTCAAGTGAAATTGATGTTTGTTCATTGGCTACTTCAAAAGGCAACAGTTCAGGATGTATTGAAGACAGTGTGGAGTTTGAGTGTCACAGCCAACCATCTCCTCCAAGCTGAGCAAGATGATTCACTCAAGTTATCTTGGTCTTCATGGGGATGAATCAATTGATCAGATTGGGTGTTTTTGTCAAAAGTGGTACAGAGGGAATCATGGGCTCTCAAACTCATTTGAAATTTTGGTTCTTTGAAAGGGTTTTCAAAACATCATGCATACAGCTGTAGTAGTACCCAGAAACAGATACCACCCTTGATGAAGGTACATGGACACTGCTCTTGATGTAGGAACCTCATCAGACCTCAGGCCTACTATCCCAAGGCTGAAAAGAGAAGAGTGAATGTGGAAAGAAAGGAGGTACCCAAACTTCTGCAAATAAGACTCATACAGCTGGCTCTGGTTCATCTGATGGTCATGAAAATCATCCAGGATATCAATTGAATCAGGTATGTAGGTATGGACTCAGCTTGTATTACAACATTTGCTAGGATTGTGGTCACAGTTGTCTGAAATTTTCAAATCTCTGGCCCCAGAATGCTGCAGACTGTGCTTTTGTTCACTACACAGAAACCTACCTACCATGTAGCCTTTCACTTGATTGCACCTGTCACTTTGGATTTGTTTACCAATACATTTTTGCCTGGGGAAAAAATGACAATACCAACAGAAAAGCTTTATCCCCCCCAAAAAAAACCATTCAAAGAAATAACCAAAACACTCTCCACCACAATCTATCTATTTTTAAATCCTAACTCATGAAATTGCCTTCTCTCTCACATGTGACTACTTGGTTTATCAATCCAACTTGTCATTCAGATACGGTTTCATCTGAAATTACCATTCCAGGTAGGTGTTGTTGCCACAGTTAAGATTGTGCTGCTATGCTGTATATGGCTGGAGACACTAAAGATATGGAAAAGCTTAATTGGTCTATGAGCTCTATGAAGCACCCAATCCTGAACTTATTAATAAGAAGCCAAGGCTAATTTTAGGATGCCCTCATCAACAGGATCTAAAAAGTAGCTTTCACTGTCAAAATTATACATTATCCCCAAGTGGAACTGGGAAAATGATGAAGTTTCTCATAACAAGATCTATCACTGCACACCTGAGCCATTACACCCACACTACATATGTGCAACAAGCTGAGTAGATTGTTGGCTATCATGTACATACAGGTCTGTTTAGTTCCCTGCTCATCTGAAGAAGTAAATCACATGTGATACATCATGTAACTTTTTCCAGTTTGACCAAATTGTCCTGAAAATTGACTACACATACCTTCATAACTACTCAGGCAATACACTGAAACCCATTCAACAGTAACAGAAGGAGTGTTACATGAAGTTGAGGTAATGGAACTACACCAAAACAATGATGAGTCAGTGTATGTAGTCATTTTTTGGAATGCTTTTGTCAACCAGAAAAAAATTATAAAAGGTATTACATATTATCTACTCATTCAGATGAGCCAATAGCTGAGCAGATCTGTATGTACATGATAGCTCCCAACTTTCCCATCCTGCTGCACATATTTAGTGTTGGTGCTTTGGCTCAGGTGTACTGTAAAATATCTGTTTATGACAAGCTACAAACTTGATCATTTTCCCATTCTCACTTGGGGACAATGTATGATGTTTACAGTGTTTTTGGGGTAATTGAATAACTGTTTTGTTTTCTCTATCTGAATGAAATCAAACTCCACATGTAATTTAGAGCTCTATGGAGAATTGAAGTTCAAAAACAAAAGTGAAGCAAGTCTATTAACTGTAGCCTTGTTGAAAGTTTTGATGTGAAAGCTTGTTTATACTGCAGTATTCACTGTTACTAATCCAACACACTAGTTTTTTTTTTGAAAAATTTCCCTGTGAAGTTTGCCTATCTACACTGCTGTTTTTGTCTACTCTGACATGGTCCAGAAATACCCCTAGCTCCTCTTCACCACACTCAAAAAGTTTCCCAAAGCCTGATCATACTACCAACTCTCAAAGGTTTCAATAGCAAGCCTGTACATACAGGTGGTATTCACTTGGTTTGATTGAAGATGTCTCAAAAGGTCTTCTTGGTACACACAAGGGCACCTGAATGAGTTAGAGCATCCCCAGCGGTCTCCCAATTCTGTGGGCTCTCAACAATGTGGGGGTCAAATTGCAAAAAACTGCTCCAGCGGACCTTGCATTATTGGGGGTGAGACATCAAGAGTCTCCATATTTTGAGAGGGGCCCTCCACATCTGCAAGGTCTAGGCGGGGTCTTGACATCATCTGCAGATTCTTTCGTGTGACAAATACAGAACATGTTTGACTCAAGAATCAAACTGGGTGATTGAGTATAAGCATGCTCATATCACTCAATCATGGGTTGACCCTCAACTAGAGGACCACTGTGCAACGTTCTTTTTTTGACCCCCTACATCTAAAAATCAACATTGGTGGTCTGTTCCAAGACCTCGCAGAATCAGGAGACCACTGGGGATGCTCTTAAACCTTGAAATTCTTCCCAAACTTGCCTTATAACTTTGCCTGATTCTAACAATAACCTTACACACCTCTGTACAGTAGACTTGTTCAAATATAAAAAAGAAATTGGGAGTCCAAAGTTTGGAGCAAAGACTTTGGAACTATGTTATTGTGTACAGCCCGTAGAGACAGGCACCATGTCCGTGTGGTGTTTGCTCGTTGACAAGCGCACACAAGTCGCCTTTGTGCCTCAAAGGCAGTCCGTGTGCGTTTCTTGTTGGGCAACTGTCACAAGGACACAGTGAGGTGTATGAGATGTCAGAAGCAATCCAATTTTTATTCAACTCCAAATTTTTGGGGGGTCTCTCAAAGTTGGCTTTCAAAATTTGGAGTTGAAAGATTTTGAACTCTCTTGATAGTGAAATCACTCATTTCAACCTATCACGCATGAATACAGCCTAATACAGCATGAGGGAAGCACAAGGGAAGTGTTAAATATACTGTGACATTCTTGGATAGGAAAGATGTGGTTTAAAATGGTTCAAAACTTTTTGTCTCCAAGTTTTTGATTCCAACTTTGAGAGACCCCCCAACAAATTGGAGTGGAATATAAATTGGCTTGCTTTGTACATCTTGTACCCTCCATGCGCAGAATGTACACAATAACAAAGTTGTAAATTTTTTGCTCCAAGTCTTTTGCTCCAAATTTTCCTTTCTATATTTGAACACGTCTAGTCCACCTCTAGATTTAATACAGGGACAAGATCTGTTTAGGGTTTTGAATCTGATGATGCCCTGGATTTGGTCACCCACCCATTTCTATGTTAGCTCAGCCAACGGTCAAGGGAGGTTCTCTCTCTCTACTTCCTCATGACAACATCCCTGTGAGCTACTAGCGTCTTTTAGGCTAGTAAGTCACTAAAAGAAAAGTTGGAAATAATAAACTAGGTTTATTATACGCGTGAGAAACCTATTTAAAGTTTTAAATAAGGTTTGTAAAGAAGCAGTGTGATCAAATCAGCAGTGACTTCAGTTAGATGACCTCTCAACAGAGGTTTTTAGGATGCACATCCAGGGATTAAGGCAAGACAAGAGTCTTCTGGCCGGATAACAATAGACAACTGGCACCCAGTGTCGTGCCCAAGATAACTACACTCGACTCTAGAGTTGTTAAACAAGGGAAATATCACCTAGTGATATTTTGAAGTTCTTTAGACTCTGAACACAGAGGGACTTCCGTGAGTTTAAAGTTTCTCAAGTTATTGAATCCCTTTAATAACTTGAGCAATAATTCTAGGATCACCTCCTGACAAAACAGTGAAGTCTTCAAAAGAACTTCTACAAATAACAAAAGCAATGATTCAATTAGAGAAATATACAATGTCTAATGGAAGAGGACAAGGACTCTATTTATCTGATTGATGAGGTATTGATAATTTGCTTAAATGCAATGATGATGATGGATTTTCCTGGCGGGTCAGAGAGCTCTTTATATACTCAAAACCCTGAAAATCCTTTATGTACAACTTGTGGTTTGATTACATACTCATTTGACGTTTGTAATCATGGATTTTTAATTGTTTAATTATTATTTGATTACGCACATGTGTAACTCTTGTGTTACTCATGTGATGCGCACTTGTGAAAGGCATTCTTACATAATGCAACCTTTTGGTTACATTTACATGTATGTACATATGTAATTTCATATGTAACTATATGTAATTACATATGTACTTGGCTCTTGAAACTGAGCCATGAGTTGTAATTATTCTTTTTGTTATTTCATAGTTATTTAGGCAGCCCTTTGGTACTAGTAATAGGGCTTGGGGCTGACAATCCCAAGTATTCTCTTACTTCAAGGTCAGAGAATACCAATGTGGGGTAGTGGCAGAGCCATGCCACGGGGCTCTCTTTTTGGTTCTCTGAAACCAAGAGCTGGCAGTATGAGATACATGCCATTGGGTCTGTGGGCAGGTTCTCAAGTTGTGCTTATCTTTTGTATGTACCTCTTATGTAGGATATGCCTTTCTCATGTAGGGTGGGTGGGTTGGTGCAGGATGTGAGCTAGAAAGAGGTGAGGTCTGTGATGGTCTGTGAGTTGAAGTCTTGGAGACTTATTGTGTGATCTCTTCACAGGATGAGCTCCCTCTTTCTCATCCTTCATACACAACCCAAGCTTTGGACCCACCCCACAGCATCACAGTCTCCCATGTGAACCAGCATGTTGGCTCTAGCAAAAGGGGTCTATGTTGGCAGTTCTACTAGATAGCTCATGCATCTTCAATACACACTTGGCACTGAAGGAAACAGGTGAATTCCTCAAATTCCTTGATCAGTCTGTCTCCAGTAAAACATACTCAAATTTTCAAAGGTGAACAATAGCACATCATTGAATATGAATGAGAGAGATCTTACATGCTCAGGTGAAGCTCAAGTTGGCCAGAGGGTTCTGGGAGTAGTGGAAGCCTTGGATTCTCAGGTCCAAGAATATGAAAAACTGATTTAAAATCATACAACAGTGCTCCATGCGATTAATTATCCCACCGTGTGGTTTCTTGATCTCGTCTATCATCTCTCTATATGAATCCTTCAAGTGCACTCCAAAAGTTGTCAATGATCAATTTTGACTAATTTACACCTTTTTTATATTCCAGTTCTTTGTTACTTTGAAACCATAAATTACTCAGTATCCCCGAAAGATGAAATAAAACAAAAATAAAGGAAAGATAACGCCGTTTGTGAAAGAAAGCTTAATCAAGAAATTTCGGATTTGACTCCTCCAGACTACAAGTATCAGATTAAGAATCATTTGAAATGACGAACACGAAGTCTCTTAGTGGTAGGTACAGTAGGATTTGGGTTTCCATCAGGTGTGCCTTTAGAACAAGCACCACCTAAAACACAAATCTTCTTATGAGCAGTTTCATTTGGATGGGTTAATACACCTGATCTCGAATCAAATAAACAATCTATATATGCTTCATAACACGAGACATATTCAGGACCTGGATCGGATTTTCGAAATTCATCGTGGAGGGCTGCGACTTTCTTTTGGTAATCTGGATCTGATGGGTCTAATTTTGATAAACCTGATTGTTCAATACGGGCTGCTATCTTTGGTGGAAGTACTCCGTAAATCTACATTATGGTAAGACTTGTCAGTATCACGGTTCAAAGTACGTCGATTACGAAGCCTGCAACGTCTTTACTTCAGAGAAAACATTAACCTGTTGAATGTATCCATAGATGATTTGTCGTACTGATGCAGCAGGTCCATCGGGCTATCAGAACAAGTGCGACAATTCATCGAAGATGAGCCTTGGTTGTGTATCATTCTTGACAAAACTATTTAAGCTTACTTTTGACAGACATTGGCTTTCGGTAGCTTTTGCAGCAGCAGATTGAGGATCTGACATTCCAATAATCAAATCCAAACAATCGGCTACCTTTTCAACATATGTTGACTAACACATTAAATTGAAATTCATCTTTGTTAATTCACTTTGAGATATCCACATATATAGACTTTATTTGATCACATACCTCACTACCGGCATTTGATGAGTAGATTGATTGGGCAGTATCGGCTAATGCATTACGAAAGTATTGATCATCTGGATTCTTTGAAAGGTTATCTTTCAGGTAGGCATCTGCAATTTTGTGAATTGAGCTGAGTACATTTGGTTGAAGGTATCCTACAAACTGAAGTCGAGTAATCGAGGTCAGATTGTAGAATCAATTCAGGAAAGTTGAGGGATGAAGATTCAAGTAAATGGAGGACTAACCTGGTTGACAATCGTGATATACAAAGATCTGAGGTCTTCATACACACTAGATTCACTTGTTTCTCTATTACAACTTTCGGTAGCCTTCAATCGATCGGGATAACTTTGACCAGGCTTAGTAGCCACCTTTCTAAAACATTTTTCCGCATCTTCGAGTGCTGCAATCAGTTCACTACTAACTGCTAATTCTACACTTTGAATGGCTGATTTCACTGAATCGTAAAAGTTTTGTTCACCGGGAAATAACGGATTGAAGGCTGAGCTTAAGGCTTTCACGGCGTGTTCTACGATACTTTGGGGAATTACGTCGTCACCAAAAGTTTTAAGGACACTACGCATAATCTGAACCGTAGGTTTAGTAAACCTCATTCATGCTGATAGGATGTGTCACAGTAAACTCACATCTGCAACTCCGGTAATTGACATGCCATTCTGTGGTTTGTTCAACGCGTCAATTTAAGTGAGTGATAAGATGGATTTAATCAATTTATCAGCGAACAGTCTGATATCAAAACATCAATTAATGGGACGAACCAAGACACAAGACTGCGAGTCGGTCAATCCTCCTTGTTTAGTCAATTTAGAAAGACAAGCCTTAAGATCCTTGAAGTGGAGAGCTCCATCAGTGGTAGATAACATCTTATCAGCCACCTCATTAACACTCTCGAGAGTTTTATTGATAGAAGTAGCCATAGCGTCCAATCTATCTTGTGATGGATGATCTCCTAAGTTTCCATCAAGATGATAATTCAAAGCTATGGTTCGTGAGAGATAGAATTAGCATCAATTTCAAAATCAAGTAAATAAAATTCTTCGAAACTGTGGGTAACAACAAATTCTTGACTAACTGTTTTTAACTATATCTTCAAACATTTGGGCAGTTTCTTGAGCTGATTGTGTATTTGAATCACCACTTGTTCCGCCTAATTTAATACTTTGTGCAAAAGCTTCGATTGCTGCATAAACATCATATTTCATTTGATACACTACTCCTTTATGAGATGATGAAATAACAGCTGCACCCCTTTGGACTTGAGGAGCTTGATTATCATCTGCAAGGGCTAAAGGGTTAAGAAAAGATAAAAGGATCGCTATTCCAGAAAGCTTCCACATCGTGTAAAATAGTGAGTGTTCTTGTTTTCAAATGAATGTTGGTGTGAGTTGTGCTTGATGAAAGGTTTTTTTAGGATTTGACTGTTCGACAATCGAAAAAGATCGAAAGGTCTTAAGTTGACTTTTTACCAAGAGTTAAAGAAATCAAAACGAATGTAAGCTAAAGATTGAAGTGGCAAGTAAGGAGAAAGGACAGGAAAGGACCACAAGACAGGTGTTCGAAAAACCACAAATACTTTATGTCGTATTGGATTTGAAATCTCTTCAGCCAACGCCGAGTTTTTGGCGGGTACGTGAATATGTTAAGGTGCACAGATCGAGCTTGAATGGCCGAAATTAACATCACGATGTGTACTAGGAAGTTATGTATTTCAATTGCATATTCTGTACACCCCAACATGAACGCTTGGAGCCTCCAGCCTTTGGCTTCTTGACAGCGTCGGCTTGCTGCTGATAAACAGTCCTGAATTTCAAATACGGGCAGATCAACATTGGTTATTTTGTGAAACTTCTTGAGGCAGCACGAGACGGTTTGCTGAGCTGTTGAGATGTTCAGCCTCAGGTTGATTGAATCATTTTGTTGAAAGATTTTTTTTCTCATAAATGCATCCACAAATGCATCTTGCGGTGTCGGGAAGGAGAGGGGCGCAGACTGAATGAACTTTCCCAGACTTTCCCCCAAGGGTCCTCATGTATCAGCCACCTAGAAAGAAGACAGAGGAAGAGTGGAGGTAAAAGATGTCCGCACAAGATGGCGACGTGACGTAAAAGTTGATGCCAGGCTTGCGTTTTTCAACACCTCCATGCTTGATATCACAGCATGGGAACCTTTCATATGACTTCAAAGTAAGTTGATCGACCAGTGCGAACGATATTGAACGGAGAGCAACCGAGTCAAGAGGAGGCAAACAAGAATGTCATAATTTCTGAAACACAGCTGACAAAACTGCATGCTCTTGCGGCTGTCTCGTGCGTGCTAGTAAAGCGATGACCTGAACTTCAAGATCACAACTTTGATACTCACCAATAGCTATAAAGGATGCATTTTATTCATCCAGATTGTCCAACCTGCATCTGATCCGTCGCACGCAATTTTCACTTACCATCCAAATATAATCGCAATGGCTTGTCTTTGTAAAGCCTCATTTCTCAATCTCGATCACCATTGTTGGTCTCTCAGTCTACATGAAAGACCTTGATTAGATTCTTTCAAGACAGGAGTATCTCCTGCTGAACACATTTGATGTCTGTTTAAGAATTTTCTTAGATATCTGTCAATCTATCCTAGACCTGAAACAGATTCCAGTATTTGCACCATCTCTTGAATCGAATCCGTCGCCATTTCCTTTTGAAGTGAAACCGAAAAGAGTACCTAATTCCAATTCATCAGCTATCGGACCATCTCCAAGTGAAGTGCTGATCAACTTCCCTATATTAATGATAATGACGTCGAATATCTCTCTTTGTCAATGGGTTTTCATTGTAACTTCATTTCATTTTCACTTTTTACAATTGACAAAGCTGAAAGGGTAGAGAGACACAGGAATACAACACAAGCTAGTCTTGTAGCATTGGGTACTGAGTTTATGTAGTAATTCTGGGCTGATAGAACTCAATGACGAAGCAAGTGAATAAAGAGAAAAGATAATGTAGCGCAACTATGAGGAAGTTGACTCTTGGAATACTTGATGAGTCTCGTAATTGTAGATGATAATCATCTTTACTTCGTTATCTCAGATATGATCTATTGTCTGTACAGTGTTCGAGGTTATTAAAATTCAGGGCCATTTTGTTTATGAAGATTTATGCTTCGCGGTTGGGGCTCCTGCACAACCTAAGAAGTTAAAAGTTGGATGATGACGCGTAAGCACATCATAAAATTGGGTGAGAGACATTTGGGGCCGACTTACGTGGAATGTTATTCAAACCTCCGCATTGGAAATGTCGTAACATGAGGGTGGCGTCCATCAATCCACAATCTTGACCGTACAAAGTCATAGGCATGCAAAATTTTGGAAGCTCAGCATCGGTAAATCCACAGTCTGAGATCTGGAAAAATTTGTCTACTCACCGTAGTGACCAGATAAGGGGGTATCCTTTACAAATCCATACGTGGTGCAGGTGATGCCGTAAGCGGGTATGTTGCCATCTTTACAGTCAACGCCCGCAATGGGTTGACCTGGATCTAGTGTAGCTCACCTAACGTCAGTAGGGCTCATTGCTAATCAGAGATGGAGAGAACTATATGCATAGCGAAGGATGGCTTACTTTTGTTATGGCATAGTTCAGTTGGGAAACCGTAGCTATAATTACCGTCATCGCAAGCTAGACATTACGGTTCAAGACATGCATGTCAGCATCATTATCAAGATCAGAGTATTCACTGGGTTCATGATCGCTACGCGGGACTTACTGGTTGTCTTGGTGGCTTCGTTGTTGGAATAGCCCCACTGGCACCACACATCCTCGATCTTTGCACCTTGTACTTGTTTGCTGTGAGTTACCAGGCTCAAAACGATAAAGATGAGCATAACGTAGTGGCGAGTAAAGAGATTCATGTTGGCGATGTGGATGAGCTTTAGAGATGGTATTTTGCGAATGAAGGTGAATTGAGAAACTTGGTCGGGAAGGGATCTTGAGGGCTTTTGAAGGCTGAATCAAATATAAAGTAAGTGTCAACGTTGTCGTTCACGAAAAAAAGGTGCCTACGGGGGGGTCTGAAAACGGGATTCTTTGACTAAGACAATCCACACTGAAAGTCACCCTGTGCGAGCATTGCGTTACCGTTCCAAACCGTTTCCTATTCAATCGTAATACAAAACCTTTGAACCCTGGTGAATTGATATTAAATTTTATCAAGGCCATTCACTTTTGTGCAAAATCTATTTTCCAGAAGAAGAAAAATCGTGTGGCGCTGAGCGTTTGCGTCGGCCATCTGATGTGATTGCGGTTAAGATTTTTTGTAGGTCCAAGCAAAAGACAGAAAAATCGGGCAAACTTGCAACCTCGGATCAAACTTGTCGAAGTCATCTTGGTGGCCGTGCCAGACGCTCGTTAAAAGTGCACCTGTAGTTGGCAATGTTGTTTGGATGAATCAGGTATCGTTATTGAGGGGCAAAAGCGTCAGGACCCTGGAAATTGGATGTCCCTCCTCTTCTAGAGCGCGGCGAACGCTCCGGTAAGGGGCTCAGTTAAGCTAGCAATGGACTAATAGGCTTCAGACAAGCAAGGATGAAAACTCAATAGCGTACGATTCAAGATGGAGACTGTCAAATTGATGATCAGAAGGAGCTCAAATTCAATGCCACGCACAACAGGACACGCGAGGATTCAATTTCCAGGCTTTCAAGAATCAGGCTGAGCAGATGTATGCGCTACAAGGCCAGTGGTACAAACAGAGTAAAAACCTCAATGTACTTACCTGAGTGCAAGAAGACATAGGTTTTCGACACCTCATAGATCAGCCTTGTTGTGCGATCTCGTAAGACAGTCCGGGAAGGCAACGAGGTTGACCCGAGCTGGACATGTCTGTCCAGCTTTCCTCTGTGGTCCGAGCCGCTGATCATAGCATCTCAATTTTGTAACGCTTGTTTTTTCTTGTGTCTTGCTGCTATCCCTTGTGGAGTTCTCGTCAAATGTTTAGGTGGACTCAAGTGAACAAAATTTCCCTCTGCTTCCCTTCAAACGTCGTGATTCAAAAGTGTTGCTGCTTAAAAAGTTGATCCATGGTAGGAATTCGGTAGCCTTGGCCCTTGGGCCACCTGGGAGCATAGTTCGAATTCACGACTCAAATAAAACATTTTTCAATTCGTTGAGTCATGAATTGGTTCATCTGGCATGCGAGTTTCCGGATGCGAGGCACGTATTGACTTGCACTGGGTAGAAACCACAGGGAAGGGACAATTACAATCGAGGGATGGCTCAACGGTCACTCCTAAATGAAATGGAACGCAGACTCCTTTTCAGGCGATATGAAATCCTCGTTATTAACTTGAAAGAAGCTTCGATTTCTCACCTGCACTGAAGCTGATGGAAGTTTCTTCACTTTTTGGACGATGACATCACACCGAGTCGGCCTTTGGGTGCTTGCCCTTATTTGCTTCGAAGACAATCTAACACAAGTCTCTCGCTGAGACCTCTAGCGTGAATAAGTTTAGTCATTCGATTTTCTAGCTCAACATTTCTTTGCCTGCGTCCGAGACGTTATAGATTCGGCCCGTGTTTGAGGGACAGCGCGATTGACCACTAGTGCCATCCAGCTCAGCCCTCAAGCAACTTTGTTTCGCCGTGACCGCCTAACCCTTGAGCCTTGTAACTCGCAAGTTTTCACAACACCGATGATCAGCTCTTTCTATCAATTATTCGTCATTTGAAACAATCTTGCAGAATCGCTCTTGCATTTTATACCTTTCAGTTCCTCGGTCAATCTGTGTTTGCAGTCAATCAACTCGGTTCCTCGTGGTTCACCTCTGTAAAACATTGCACCTCAACCATCAAGGTAAGAAATATCAGGCCCATCCAATTGAACCTACCAAATCCTTCATATACACAAAACTGTAGCATCTATGTCGAGAGCCTTTCTGTTTGTTTACTAAGCGACATCATCACATTCTTTCCGATTGACCATTGGGTGCATACCAATAGTCTTCCTTGCATTCAACCGTTGCTACCACGTTCTTTCAGCTCATTCATTTCACTCCTACGTACAATTAGAAGTCTTTCATATCCCTTTTTGCATCCATGGCGCCAAAAGCATCAATATCGAAGCAATCACTCATTTCTTCCAGGACTGGTGCAAGTGAGGTCAATGACGATTCTTCGGCTGCATACACATCCAACTCTGAAAAATCAGCTACTTCAACTTCATCTCGGAAGCCTAAAATAAAATCTCACCTTTGGGCACATGAAAAAGCTACCGAACCTCACTCTGAATTTTCCAGTAGTCATGGGGTTGGACATGGAGCAAGTCAAATCCCACTTGAGGATGATTCTCACATGCCTTGCATGACATTTAGGGCTGTTCTCGTCGGTTTATTTGTTAGCTCAAGCGCTGCTGTCATCCAACAATTTTTTCTGGTGAGTCCAGATAATATCACAAAGTTTCAATAGCCATCTTGAAGACTTGAATAAGACTGATCTTGTTATGACTCATAAGTTCAAACCATCTCAATCGCAAGTACAACCTCTTTTTCTACAATTGACATGTCTCTTCATCGGGCGTGGTCTGGAAAATATTTCGGGGCCTACATGGTGGAACCCGGGACCTTATTCTCTGGTGGGTCTGTGAACCATCTGGGGATCAATAACATAATATTTAATCCATCGGTTTTGCAAATGTAGAAGGAGAATGCTCTGAGTTCAATAATGGCCACAGCCGCTGCTGCCGGAACGCTTGCAGTTGAAGTGAGTGGAATTTCAGCTAGATTCAAGATTTCCGATCAAACATTGACTTGGTATACTTTGGACAGATGATTGCCACCGAAGAACTCTTCGAAGATCGGCCTTTCCATTATGGAACAGCTATGGCCATCATGCTGTAAGTCATACCCCCTCTGGTGCCTTCATTCATGTAAAAAGACAAGACGAGTCTGACAATGGGGCCCATAATCCAGGAGCTCGCAGTTGATAGGTTACGGATTTGCTGGAATCTTGAGGCGTCCCTTGGTTTACCATAAACATGCCGTCTTCCCGTACGTGCCTTCGTACGGAAGAAATGTATAGATATAGATTTCATCAACTTACTGTTTTTTTGACCGCTAGTGCTGTGCTACCATCGGTCGCGCTGTTTCATTCCTTTCACGACCGAAGTGATCTGGTTGAGAGACAGCTTAAATTATTTAAGCGTACTTTTTTTGGGATGGCTATCTGTAAGCTTGTTATGACGAAGGATTGTATTCTCAGCTTCACGAATCTGATCTGTGCGGTCTTAGTCGAATTATTCCCTCAGTACATCGCACCCACTCTTCAAGGAATCAGTCCATTCTGCATGCGTTGGCAGCGTAGCGAAACGATTACGCGTTATTTTGGGGGCGTGCTTTCTCAAGAAGGGCTAGGATTGGGCAGTATCTCGCTCGATTGGAACGCTGTTGGAGCGCTGGGACCGCTCTATACACCCTTCGCAGCGCAAGTAAGCAGTGATTTCTGCTTCTAGACTTCTCTGCGTCTGTGGATGCATCGGAGGATATGCCTGACTGCTCTTCATTACTCAGGTCAACGAATGGGGTGGTATTCTTCTGTCTTTCCTATTCTTGATCATTGGCTACGAAAAATCTTGGTTCTGTGAGTAGAAGTGATCGAGATGATCTTCATACCGGTAAAGTCTGACGATCCATCCAATGTTTTATGTTATCGCGGTTTCAGCCGGGGGAAAGAAAGATGGGTTCCCTTTCCTGAATTCACAGCTCCTCACTTCCGACGGTCAACGCTACAACCAGACCGCAATCATCAATGAAGATGGTACCGGTAACTGGGAAAAGATCGAAGAGCTCGGGGCCCCGTACTTCGCCACGTCCTACGTCCTCACCAACATAGCCACCAATTTGGCCGTGGGAGGTGCAATTACTCATTGTTTATTGTGGGGGTGGAGCTCGATCTCTAGTGCTTTCATGTTCAGAAGAGAAATGCGATCTGAAGATGTGGACCCTCATTGGACTGTCTGTAAAAAATATAACGAGGTTCCCATTTGGTAATGCATCTCGTCACAACAAATTTTTAGACTTATGTGTCCCCAGAACTCAATCTGACTAAAACACTGAAATGACCATGATCATAGGTCATATTTGGCGATCTTATGCTTCTCAATCTCAGTTGCGTTTTTGGCGGCTTCACTAACAACATCAGGACTGAGCGCAGGTGCGTTAAGTATGGCATTGGTACTTGCTGCCGTCTTAGTCATTGCGGCGGCGTTTCTACGAGCCACGACGGGAGCTATGTTAGAAGTCGAGCCAGTAATCCAGATGATAGGGTAATTTTTCCCTTTACTCTCGTCAAGTTATATTAAACTGATCAAACATTTTATTACTCTCTGTTACTGAATTACAGTGGTGTAAGGCTGTTTCTCTAATTGATTTTTGACCCATAGATACTGATACAATCTTTTATGTTTGAAATAGCTTGTGTACCCATCAGACGCTTTCGGAAACATGTGGTTCTGTACCTAGTTGGTCACCTTCATTTGATCCCTACCTTTCCAAGCTAGTACTTATTCATGATACTTCACCTCAGTGGATCCGCAACTGTTTCCCAATCAATCAGTATGCTACAGGTACGATCCGCAAAAATCAGTCCGATGATGAATATCTCATTGACGTGCTCAATTCGGAACCTCATTCCAGGATTTGAAATTGGGAATTTACCTTCACTTACCACCGGTTTGTCATATACCTTTCCTGATGATAATGCATCACCTTGAGAAATCATCTAATCCCCACTGATATATATATATCTTCCTGGTGGGCTTGTTTTGAAAATACAAACAGATCAATGTATTCACGGCGCAAATTGTTGGAACGTAAGCACCTCATCGATACATCGTCTTGAATTTGATATCAATTTTAACGCTGTTTTTCTCATTGGACCAATCTTCTGCGATTGCAGGCTCGCTGGGGTAGTGTTCAATTATTTGATCATGAGCTTGGTCGTCAACACCAATCGAGAAGTCTTACTCTCTCAGTACGGAAGTCACGTCTTTACTGGTGTGGCTTTGGAAGACTTTCAAACCCAAGCTGTTAGGTAAGTACGGTGAATACATTTTGATTCATTTGTTATATGAAACCTATTCAAACCGAGAATGGGAGATCTGATTCTGGGGTTTCTTGTTCAGTTGGGGTATATTTTCTCGAAAGCTATTCACGATTGGAGAGAGATATGTAATGATAATCCGCTTTCTGTTTCATTTATCCCTCGCGCTGACCTCTTCATTTGAGATTAGGTGGCTGTGCCCGCTTCTCTAGGTATCGGACTTTTATTACCCATCCCACCTTACATCATACAGAGGATATGGCCCAAACTAGGCTTTCGCTTGATCAATGTACCATTGATCTGCGGATCTTTTGCTTATACACTCAATCGTATGTCTCAATACTAACTCTAACACTGATAACATGGTCAAAGATATCTGAATACGTCACTGAATCCGATCCACTTTTAGGTGCAAATGCGGCATTTACCATGGCAGTTGTTGCAGGATTTTTGTCACAATTCTATGCACGAAGATATCGACCAAAATGGTAAATGTTAAAATCTTGATACTCTTTATCTCCCGAGTGATGAGATATTGCTCTTTTTCAAGAAAACTGATCTTCTTTGCTTTCATAGGTTTTACAGGTATAACTATATCCTCAGTGCAGCACTTGACGGTGGAGCACAAGTGGTAAGTAAAATATCTAATTGTAAATCCACCAAGAGATAACACTGAAGCCCATCTTCTTTTCCTTTTATCTTCCAAAGACTGCCGTAATTCTTGGATTTGTCGTTGAAGGTGGCGCTGGTTGGAAACAACTAGCATTTCCTTAGTTGAGTATCCAAGAGCTCATTACATCTCCATTTGATTCTTCTGTTGATATATTTTGCTAATCGATTTGTCTTCATCCAAATAGTTATTTCTTGAACCCTAGGGGTAATCCTTTCGAACATCGCGCACCTGATTATTGCTACCTCAGTGTTTTACCTGAATGAATAAAACTGAGTTGCTCTATTTTTCTATGTATATGAATCTACACCAAATTACCACTTCAAGTTCAACAATATAGAATAGGCAGTATTTTTCATTCTTTCTCTTCTTACTGTACTCCTGTATCTCAATTCTCATGAAGTTTACAATCTCAACATAGTGAATAGATAGTATTTTTCATCCTTTCTCTTTTTGACTGTACTGATATGTCTCAATTCTCATGAAGTTTCAATCTCAATTGTAATCTGAAGATGGACTCAGTCTCCCATTGAAGTAATCCAGAGCATTTTTGGACTCTTGTTGGCTCCTTCCTTGAGCGCTTCTGCTGTTATTAGTTCTTGACATGGTTATCCCCCTGAGAATCAGATGCACCTGAACTAGAAATTTATTCCCTCCACAAAGAAAAACAAAATCCCAGGTGGCTTAGATTTTGAATCAAGTTTACAGACAAAAATTCAAAAGATCACTCATTGTAATACATCTTGATATTTGTCAACAGACATCATCATTCTTCTTCATTTTCTTCAATTTGGCATCAGCTTTACTCATCTGCAATAGGAAGGAGAAAACTTTGCACCACATGCCAAGTCTCTCATTGCCTTATCTGTTTGGGCTTCAGCACTGCCGCAGCTCAGGTCAGTGCTTTCTTCCTCAACTTAGCCCAATACAGCCACCAATACGTCCTGGAAGGTATCTTATCATCATTTCGTTTGAACCTCAAGCAAATGCAAATGTATTTACTGTTGGATTTCTCTTGGTCAAGCACCTCTTGTGCACCTGAAACTCGGACCCGACCCGAGGATACCTTTACATGTATCCTCGCAGCGGATCCGAAGGAAAGCGGGCAGATGCATCCTAAGATGCTAGGATGCATCTTTTGTGACCTCGCGAGGCTCTAAGTCCCACACCTTCTCTAAATGTACCAAACACCTCTCACACCCCTTCACACTCCACTTGGCCATCATTCCCACACTTTCACACATTTCACTCACCTACCACTGTAACATTGCCTCTCCACGTGTAATACTCTCATGCATCACATGTAATCCTAGTCGCTACATACAATATAACATCACACCACTTGAGCAAACATCTATCTATCAAAGATCTATCATCTCGTCGACGCACCACATTCCACTTGAAAGTATCATCACTTCATTCATTATACCATGGCACGACCCCCAACCCGAAAGCGGCAAATGCCCTCACGAGTCACTCGCCACACCAAGACACCTGGACCTGCTACATCTTCACGTGCTAATCGATCCGCTAATCAAAACACCAAAAATCAAAACACCAAAAGATCAACTAATCGCAACCCAAAGCCAGCTGATAGGGCTCACCCCAATTCCACCTCGTCAGCCTTGTCAGACGATTCTGAAGATTCATCAGAGGAGGAAAGTCCATGGGAGGATCAAGATGAAGACGATCAGGAAGAACCCGCTGAAGATCAACGTGCCAAAAGGCCACAAACACAGACTCAGACTAGTCTCCCCTTACCAAATCCGCCAATTGATCACAAAATCACACTCGAAAACTACAACAAACTCGACTTGGACATTTTCACAATCAATGAACTCCTTTCAGCCTCAGGACGCAAAACTCGTAATCGCATCCCTTCTGATATTCAGAAAGAATTGAAAAATCTTCAATTCATGTACCGGCGTGCCAAGAAATTGCTTGCATTAGCAGCTAAATGCAGTGAAAAGACAATAAATGAATTTCTGTAAGTCAGAAATTCTGTACCAACTCTTTGCTTTTCCTGGCTCCTCACATATGCTTATGCTTACCTTACTTAATTATTACTAATGGCAGGCATGAAGTCAGTATAAGAACAAAACGAAACTTCTATCAAAACTTTTTGAAGTATAGCATTGAAAGTTCTAACACCAACAGTAAGGGCGCGTTCACTTAAGCAATTTCTGGGGAGAAATCACATTTTGCAAAATTTAAAGTGTCTATTTGGTGGTGTATGTTTCATTTTTGCATTAAAAAATTTATAGAATGTGATTTCTGGTCAGAATTTCCTTAAGTGAACGCGCCCTAAGTCGAGTCTCATCGGGTCCTCAATTTGAACCTTTCTCATTAATACCTTGTACGAAAGTGCCACCAAGGAATACCCAAGAAGGTTTCAAAGAGCGCAACCAATACCTAGGGACAACTTGGACCAACTTAGAACCAGAAGAGAAGGATATATTCAATGGCCGTATTTTTTTCTTCCTTGGATACCTAGCCTCTGGATGGGATCAGCCACCTGTCAAGCCTGGGACAGTACCTCTCGACGCCGAAGAAAAGGATACATATCTACCAATTTTCAAACGCCTGGTTGACCTGGATAAAGTTGCACGTGATCTAGGGCAAGCAAAATTTGGTCCGCATCTCCCAACTGCTAGACAGAACAAGGGTATTGAAGAGGTGGAACGAATTGAACACGAGGTAAACTTTCTTACACCCCTCACTCATTTGTTAGGTATTGCTCGACTAAAAAGGGTGTATTCAAACAATTTCAAATGAAACTAGCTTCAAACAATTCATATCCGTTATGGTGTACACTACACCCTCATGGCAACCTCGTGGAACCCCGACACACGCAACGAGAAAGGTCAATGGGAAATGTAGTCATCATCCTCGGACGACTGGACCAGCTTGACCAATACTGAATGGAAGCTTCTTGAGCATTTTGTCCGGCATATCACACAATCTGATCTCAAAACAAAACCCACCCGAACTAAGAAACCTCAGGCTAGTGATTTGCTTAAATCACAACTCACAGCCAAGTTGAATGATCTTGTCCGTAAGTTGTTCCTTTCATTTATTGACCAAGTGCTGCATTTCACTCACAGTCTCACTTTCTAGGACAATATCTCAAGCCTCCCTTCAACCACTTAGACTGCCACCCAAAGACGGCGTCCTCCCACCTAACATTAAAAGGTCGAACCTTCAAGGGCAATACATGTATGGAGGTCATACAACATGCCAACTCTCGTATGACAGAGGCACTCCTTGCAACTGCTTTTGAAAAGATGGCTGCCAGGACACATCAGATGTGGGTAGATGACATAAAAGATGGCTATTATGTAGTTGTTAAACAACCAGATGCCGAGGACATCAACAAGGACCCCATTCCAGATGAGGATGACAACAACATAGTTGAGCAGGAGGCAGAGATGGAACACTGAATGTTGTATTAATTTTATCTTTGTCATGTAAGGATGCAAAAATGTAATTCCCCCCTATTCACACTTGTGAAGAGGTGTGAAAATGTTCGAAATCTTGGGCACACCTTCATGGGCGTGATGAAATTGTGAAAGACTTGATTCACAATCCATTAACGCTTGTGAAGCAGTGTGAATATTTCACACTGCAATATTCAGTATATTCCGGAAACTTTCACACATGTGATGACAGTGTGAAAGATGTTTCACACTTGTGAAGAGGTGTGAATATGTTATTCACACCTCTTAACCTTGGTCACTCCTTCATAGGTGTGGTGGGATTGTGAAAGATGTGAATCACACCCTATTCACACTTGTGAAGAAGTGTGAAAATTCTATTCACACCTCTTAACCTTGGTCACTCCTTCATAGGTGTGGTGAGATTGTGAAAGTTGTGATTCACACCCCACTCACACTTGTGAAGAAGTGTGAAAATTCTATTCACACCTCTTAACCTTGGTCACTCCCTCATAGGCGTGGTGACATTGTGAAAGTTGTGATTCACACCCTACTCACACTTGTGAAGAGGTGTGAAAATTCTACTCACACCTCTTAACCTTGGTCACTCCTTCATAGGTGTGGTGAGATTGTGAAAGATGTGAATCACACCCTGCTCACACTTGTGAAGAAGTGTGAAAATTCTATTCACACCTCTTAACCTTGGTCACTCCCTCATAGGCGTGGTGACATTGTGAAAGTTGTGATTCACACCCCACTCACACTTGTGAAGAAGTGTGAAAATGTTATTCACACCTCTTAACCTTGGTCACTCCCTCATAGGCGTGGTGACATTGTGAAAGTTGTGATTCACACCCTACTCACACCTGTGAAGAGGTGTGAAAATTCTATTCACACCTCTTAACCTTGGTCACTCCCTCATAGGGGTGGTGAAATTGTGAAAGTTGTGATTCACACCCTACTCACACTGTGAAGAGGTGTGAAAATTCTATTCACACCTCTTAACCTTGGTCACTCCTTCATGGGTGTGTGAAATTGTGAAAGTTGTGATTCATCTATTCACACCTCTTAACCTTGGTCACTCCTTCATGGGTGTGTGAAATTGTGAAAGATGGGAGTCACACCCCACTCAAACTCGTGAGTATGAAAAGGGTGAATTTCACACTTCTTCACCAGTGTGAAAAGTGTGTATCATACTTTGAATGCTTCATGGGTGCAATAACAGTGTGAAACTTTGTAATCACACTCCATCCACTTTGGTGAAGCGGTGTGTCAGGTGTGAATTCCATTTTCAAATCCTTAAATGAGACTTTCACAGGTGTAACGTCAGTGTGAAAAGTGGGAAATATTTTATTTCGAATCAGAACACATCCACCACCAAAGTGGATTGAAAAAGGAATGTGGAAGTTTTCTAAATATCTGTGACTTCTAGACTAATCAAACTCATCGTCATCATGCTCAAGTATTTCATGATAAACATCATCTTCCCCATTTTCTTCCTCTTCACCCACAATTGTTGGGACATGTACCATTGTTTCCCACTCCGCAAGACACTTTTTTACCATTGATCTCCACTTTTCTTGTAATTCATCATCACTGCCTGTTTCACACACATTGTAAGGTTGCGATTGGTGCAGCAAGCTGATGATTGCGCCATTCCAGCTTAACCATATCCGCCAAGCTTCCCGCGATAAAGTACAAGCGATTGCCAGCATCATATCTTTACTTGCCCATGTTGAGATGATGTCTACAATGAACACAAATTGAGGTATGTTACCAAACACAAACAATCTTTGACAAAACATATCAACTCACCATCGGTGTTATTCTGATGTAGGTTGTCAATCTTGCCTTGATACTGAACAGCCCAGTTCAGCATTTGTCTGGCCTCTTTTGCAATACGGCGAAGCTCCTCTGTACACCGACATACTGTGATGTAAGCTTCCATCCCTTCCTGGGTTGCTTCGTCAACGGCCCAAGGTTCAGTCAAGTGAATGATGCTACCAAAGTTGAGAAACGGGTGGCGTAAATCCATTGCCTCAACCTCTTGAAGAGTAGGGGTGGCCAGTAATGGGTCAGGTGCGAACTGCTCATTGTATTGCTTGGCAAGTCTGATATATGTAGCATGCTTTTGTCGTAGCTTAGTATTCTTCAGTAGTCGCAAAGTATTCATCTTTTTTTGAACATTAGTACCTATCACCAGTGAACATGTCAATGCAAGAATATGTTGAGACAAGTGAAAGCC